CTCGGCCCATCCTTGGCCACTTTCGCGGGCCGTGCCCCGCTCGAAAAGCCTCGAAATGGGCGTCCAAGGCCCTTGCATCCTTATCTCACCACCCACCAAACCACCCCAACCCAACCCGAAGGCCTCAATTTGCCGTCCATTTCCAGTCGGGGGGGGTCGGGGAGCGTTGAAAAAACACATGGTACCCGTACCCCCCCCAACCTAAATTCGGGTCAAATTCGGGTCTTTGGGTTGGGTTGGGGTGGTCTGGTAGGTAGTCATTATCGCCATCCTTACTCTACTGGTTGACTGTGTGTTCCAGCCAGGGATGCCGCGTGGCCGGCGCCCTAACGTCCCCCGAGCGTCGTGCGGCCTGCCGTGGGCGGGAGGAGAGCCCGGTCCCAGCCAAAGGGTGGCAGCCTGGCCAGGACGCCCCTCTGCAGCCTCCTCCTCCTCCTCCTCCTCCTCCTCCTCCTCCTCCTCATCCTCCTCCTCCCCCTCCTCCCTCCCCCTCCTCCTCATCCTTCCTCCTCCCTTCTCCTCCTCTCCTCCTCTCCTCCTCCTCCTCCTCCTCCTTTTCCTCTGCCTCCTCCTCCTCGTCCTCATCCTCCTCTTCTCCTCCTCCTTCTCCCCTCTCCCTCCTCCTCCTCCTCCTCCTTCCTCCTCCCTCCTCCTCCTCCGTCCTCCTCCTCCTCCTCCTCCTCCTCCTCCTCACCTCCTCCTCCTCATCCTCTTCCTCCTCTGTGGGCTCAAGAGACGAGGGTCAATGCAAGCGAGGGTCAGTCAGAGCGCCCGGATGGAAAGGGATCCTGCAGGGCCAGGGGTGCACTGACCCGGGTTTTGGGTGCAGGATCCTGCAAGAGATCCTGCAGGATCCTGCAGGGCCTGACTGACCCGGGCTTGCATTGACCCGGCCATCGAGACGCGCGTCTTTTCACGCCTGGCATCGGCTGCGCAGGCCTGGATCGTCCTCCGACAGGCCCCACATGGGGGCCACAGGCAGGTAGACTCAAGTCGGGCGTGTCCCTCTCTAGTTCAGAAACAGTAGAGACATAGTCTGGGGACGATTTGTCGTGCCTGGTACTACTTGGCTATTTGTATTTTTCATTCTAAATCCGCCTATAGGAGGACATGCCCGACCTAAAGGTAGACCCGGCCGTCGTCCTCTCGACGCCAGATCTCTGGGCTCCTCCGCTCCTCTCCGCCGCCTCTCCTCTTTCGCTTCCCGTTCTCCTCCTCCTCCTCCTCCGCCTCCTCCTACTCCTCCTACTCCGCCTCCTGCTTTCTACCCTTCTCCCCCTTCCCCCCCCCCTCCTCCTCCTCCTCCTCCTCCTCCTCCTCCTCCTCCTCCTCCTCCTCCTCCTCTTCCTCTTCCTCTGCCTCCTCCTCCTCGTCCTCATCCTCCTCCTCCTGCTCCTTCCGTAGCCACTTTGGCTCAAGATGCATGTTCCCCCGGGAGACAAACGGATACCGCTAGCCCGCGGCAGTGCCAGAGCGCTTGCGCTCGACATCCCTTTCATTCAGTGCTCCACCGCCCTCCCAATATCCCGCCTCCCAGAGGTCTTATGGCAGCCGCAGTGCCTCGCCTGCTCGCTCTATCTCTCGCAGTGACAACAATGCAGTGGACGCTGAACGTCGTGGCCGCTTCCGCCCCACGACATCGGAACCACATCGCTCAGGAAGGCACACGCGCTCTAGTGGCTGGGATGTTCGTCCTGATGCAGATCGTCGCCCGCCTGTTCCTGCTTCTCATCGTGGATCGGACCCTAGCGCCCCTGCTGCCTGGATGGCGGCGCCCGCTGGCGGCCAGTCCCTCTCTGCCAGCCAACAGGCAAGCATCCTGCAGGCTGACGCCATCCTCCCCACCCTCCCAGCTGAAGTGGAAGACACCCCTCCCGACCCGTGGGCTCAAGCTGCTGCTCAGCTTCTTCCTCGTGGCGATGCCCCTGCCCGCGCTGCACAGCCTGTTCATGCCGAGCCTCCAGTGTACCACATTGGCGCAGGCGACAACGCGGGAGACTCTCCCGCCTTCAACATCCACTAGTATCGTGCTGACATCGAAGTTCGTTTCGCCACCCTGCGCGGCTCCTTCGATGACATGGACAAAGGCGCTGTCACCTTGCCCCTGCAGGCCGCCAGTGACCCGATTCCCAGGACCCTGAATGTACTTCGCCAGCAAGTGTCGCGATTCGCCCCCAGCTCGACCAGCTCGCCAGAAGATTCCAGATGCAGCAGGATGCGCTCACCAAGCGTGCGTCGGAGTCGGGGCCGGTCCTGGGTGACCATGAGCGGCAGATCATCGCTATGGAAAAAGATATCTCAGACATCCGCAATCAAGTTGGGCTTGACAGAGCCTATCCTGCGAAGCCCTTCGTCTCCCCTGGCTTTGATCGTGAAACTGCTCCCTCCCAACTTATTGTGGTGGCGGCGAAGGTGGTTGTGCTCCATGGCGCGCGCGACGAGATCGGCGCCTTCTTCGCTGAGCTCAACTTCCGAGAGGATGACTACGCCATCCGCGCTCTCACTCCCCACCCTGCCAAGAAGTTCTCGGCCACGTTCAAAGGCGCCGTCGGCGCGGCCCCCCGCAAAGCCCAGCGTGTCCCAGGGTGCCTGCGGAAGGGCGGCCAGCGGAGGGAACCCCGTCACGCTGTCCAAGGAGCTAGCTGACCCTGCCCGTCTTCACCTCGGCCCTGGCAAGTGCCCCGAACAAGTCCGCGCCGAGATCTTCCTTCTCAGGATCCGCGGCGTCTTCAGCGGCTCCTTCCCCCAGAAGCGCTGGTTCGTCGACCGCGAGAGAGGCGTCCTCAAGGCTGATTTCGCCGACGCCCTCAAGGTCGAGGCCCACCCTGGCGACGAGGCCTCCACGGCCCATTGGAACGATGCGGGGATTGCGGCGCTGGGTCTTGAGCGCCGCCCTCTCGCCGAAGCCATCTCGTCTCCTTCCACTCCTGCGGCCCAGGCGCAGTGGTGTCTTTGACGGCTTCGCGGGCCTCTTCTCGCTGCCCGCGACCGCTGGTGGCACGGTCTTGCATTTCACTACCTGGAACGTTCGGGCTCTGCAGCAATGCGGTGGGGCCACGCGCCAGATGAAGTTGGGTTACCTTAAACGCTGCGTTACTGGTAGCAGTAGCGTAGGACTGCAAGAAGTGCACGGCGACAGTTGATTAATTTCGTGCGCAAGGTTCGCTCTGACGTGATTGTCCACTGCAGCTTCTGTGATCGCGGGGTTCGAGGAACTGGTGGCGTCGCCATCCGTCTGCCGCCCCCTGCCTCGGATAGACTCTCCAGTCCAGCATTGGGGGTGATCCCTGGGCGCGCGCTTTGTATGGGCGCGGTGCTCGACGAGGTGCCATTGGTGGCTTTCAACATTCATCGCCGCGGCTTGTCCTGGGTGGAGGTCACCACAGTCTGTGAGCAAGCAGATCAGGTATGCCAGCCGCTGGGCTCGCCACTCCCCCCTCTTGTTCTTCGTCGTTGCCCTCGGCGACCTCAATTTCAGCGTCGACGAGGCGCTGATTTTTCACGGGCCTGAAGCCGCCAAGGTCCAAGCTGCGCGGTCGCCAAGTCCGCGCCCCGACCTGGGCCAGGGCGCTGAGTGACTTGATGGTGGTCTGCTCGGACTCCCCCACTCACTTCTGTCGGCATGCCAACTCTGTGAGCTCTATTGATCGCGTCTTCTGCTCGGCCGCGGGCCAGGCGGCGCGCCGGCTGACGGCCGCGGCTGGGGCGATCGACTCGCCATCGGAGTTGAGCTCCGAGCTGGTGTCTGACCACGCCGCCGTCCGCGCTGCGCTGCGACAACGCGCTGCGCGGCCTCCGACGGAGCGCGCCATCCCGCGTCACATCTTCCAGAGCGCTGTCTTCAAGGATCGCCTCATGGGCATGCTCAGCGACGGCGATGGGGACATTCCCACGTGGGCCCCCCCCGTTGCGAGCGAGCACTGCATGCTCAGGTTGAAAGAAGCTGCCGGGGAGACCCGCGACGTTCTCTTCCCCCAGGCTTCGGGCGAGGCGGAGACGCGCCAGCTTATTGCCCACGGTATTTCGGGGGCGGTCTGGCGACGAGATGTTAGGCTCGCTCTGCGACTTCTCGACGCCTCAGTGCACTCTCAAGACGATATATTGGTCGAGGGTCGTTCTGCGGCGTTACGACGTGCGCCCACCTTTCAGCAGTGGGCTGAAGGAGTACACAAAGGTGTCATGGGAAAAGAGATTGCCGCTGCTGCGGCTGCCCCATCATCCTCTGCGTCTGCCCCCGGGGGATCTTGCTCGTCATCGCTGCTACGTGCTATGGAAAGAGGGGTTGCTATCTAGGTCCCCGTTCTCGAGGCGCCTGGCGCTTGCGTCCGTCGCTGGCCCGGGCGGGCCTGTCTCGACCCCTGAATGCCGACGTCGCGCATTGCGTGACAACTGGAAACCTGTCTTCTCGGCGAAGCCCCCCGCTGAATCGGCGACGCAAGCATGCATCGATCGCTTCTAAAATCTGCGGGGGATCTCCAGGTTGCCTTTCCGCTGGCCCCACTATTCAAGACAGCCGCCAAGGGGGCTAAACGCTCGACCCCTGGGGTGGGCGGTTTGCCGCATGCCGCGTGGGCGGCGGTGGACCTCGGCCCCCGCGCGCCCGCCTCGATGTCCAGCTGGCTTTTTCAAGGTCAGGCTTTATTCGACGCTGCCAGTGCCACGTTGCAGGCCCCCCTCCCCAAGGGCTCCGAGGCCTCCGACACTGCGGGCGGGGCCGGCGAGAGGTCTCCTGATCGGTTTCGGGCACTGGGTCTTCGCAATACTGACATGAAGATTCTGAGTTCGGTCGTGATTATCATTCTGAAGGCAGTCGTGGGCTTTGTGGCCCCGCCTTCCCAATGCGGCTGCATCTCTGGGAGTGACTTTGAGCGCGACATTCCTGAGCTTGGCGCCCTGGGGCGGAGGCAGCCTCTCAGCGCCCGCTCGCGCGGGGCAAGTTCCCGAGTCTCCTCGGCTTCGACCGCGGCCAGGCCTTCCCCAGCCAGTCCTAGTCCTCCCCCATGCAGCTCCTGAGCGCCCTGGGGCTCTGCGAGGCGCCCCTCTCCTTCATCGGGCCCCTGCGTGAAGCTGCCCAAGGGGCAAGTGCGGGCGGGGCGCACTGGTGGAAGTCTTCTGGCTGAGCTCTGGGATCATTCCAGGATGCGGCCTCTCGAGCTCCTTGCGTGCTCTTGCCTCTGCCCCGATACTCCAGGACCTGGGAACAAATTTTGAGCGTAGAGATATGGGGGAGCGGACGAGAGTGTGCCGACGACTTGGGAGTGGTATTGTTTTCGTTTTATCCAGATTGTCTTTGGGGTCCTCCAGACTATGGAGCTGATTGCGGGGCACTCCTCCACGATGAGCACGCGCGCTGCCGTTCCTCTTGTGGGCCCAACCCCCGAGGCCCATCGAGGCGAAGTTCGGGATCTCCTGGGCCGATGCGTTCCCACATGGGCTGAGTTCGTTATTGAAGGTTGCATGCTGCATCTTGGCATCTGGCTCGGACCAAGCGCCAGCGTTGAGCGGTGCCGGCGCGACCCTCTCGCCAGAGTTCGCACAAGCAGTCGTCTGCTCAGCCGCGCGGGCGCGACAAGTAGTGTCAAGTCCACGCTGTGTCGTACCCGAGTTCATCATGTTCTTTTTCACGAGGCGTCATCTCGCAGGTCCTGAGATGCCCGACCGGCATGGCCAGCTATGAAGGTGCCCCTGAATTTTAGGAATGGGGCGGGCCTCGGCTGCCCTGTCGGCCGCCCATGCTGCTGCTGCTGCACTACTCCGAGCTGCTGCCATCGCCTTCTGCGGCTCCCCGTCCTACCTCGACTTGGCGAAGGCCAAGGCGATTAGCTGGCTGCAGGAAGTCGCCGACATACATTTTGATGACGCCCCACTCTCCGCCACTGTGCGGACGCGTCTGTTCCCCAGTTTCTGGAAGGCGCCTGCGTTCGTTGATGGTCTCGACGGCGTGCTCTTTCTCTCCTCGGACGGGTGGGCGGCTGCCGCTCGATCACCCCTCGCCGACGAGCTGTCCTGCACTGATCGACGCCCTCGCCCTCAACGTGCCACTGCCGCCACTCATCCGGGCCGTCTCGCTGCTGAGCGGGCGCTGAGCCGAACCATCGTGCGATGCCCCAGTAGAGTGCTGGGCGACTACGAGCCCTTCCTGGATCGCGTCCACCGGGGGAAGTTTCGCGAGCTCATGCGACTCCGGCCACAAAGCTGGACAATGGCTGCAATCAGTTCATGGACCAACGGTTGGCTGACGTCAGCACACATTGTAGACCCCGACGGTCTACTGCGATGCCGCTACGGATGCAGCCGACCTGATCGGCGTGCGCCCACGGCTCCGTCACGCCACAGGTCGAGCGCTTGGTCGAGACCTACCTGTCACTCTTCCTGCTCGTTTGGGCCTCGCGGGACCCAGGCCCGAGTGATTTGAGGAGATGTTTGTTGCCTACCAGATCTTCAACTTGACCAGGGGGCGCTTCGGCATTATAGCCCCCAGGACTCTTCCCTCGCTCGCGGCCGCCGCTGTGCGGCTGTTGCGTCTCTCGCGCCCTGTGCAGGAGCTGCAAAAGTGGGACCCACCGTCGAGGGTACTCATCGGCTCCACTCGAGTCCATGGTATTTGTTCTACGTCCGACTCCAGCGCGACTTCCGACTTCAGCTTCTCGGGCCCAGAGAATATGCACCTGACGACGACCTGCCCCCACCTGTTCCGGCTGAGGGCCTTGGGGGTGGAGCGCTTGTGGGATCGTCGCGGTCGGTTTGCACGTCACCGTATTCTGCGTTTTCTCCAACGCTGTCGTTGCCAAGCGGACCAGAAGTTGGGGGCGCCCTCGGATCGCCCCGTTCAGTGCCCTTCAGGCGTCAAGCTCATGCTCCAACCCCTGCGCCGACGCGCACAGAACGCAAGTCCCGTCGTGTGTGCCGGGCTCACCGTCGCCACCTGCTGATTGAAGGCCGCTTTCCTCGTCGGGCGCTTGCGTTGGCGTTAGATCGCAAGTCCCGCTGTCGGGTTCGGGCTCGCCGTCGCGCGCCCCTGCTGGATTCTCCGCGGTGTCTCCCGCTTTGGGGCGTTAGATCGCAAGTCCCGTTGTTGTCGTGTTCGGGCTCGCCGTCGCCGCTTTGCCGAAGCCTCGACGATGACCTGCTGGCCCATGGTGTTAGATCGCAAGTCCCTTTGTCGCGTTCGGGCACCGCGTCGCCACGTAATGAATTTTCTGGCGTCAGCCCGTTGACATCGGTTGAGACCAGCGGACCAAGTGACTAGCCAACGCCAATGTCGCCCTCGTCTTTTATTTTTGCTGGAGCGCCGGTGACGCGCTCGAGAACGATTGCGACGGTTTGGGATGGAGTATAGGTGGGTCTCGATGAAATTGTGTCGAGCATTTCCGAAGGCTTCGGCCACCGCGATGGTGGCGGGGGTGATGGGTGGTCGGCCAATGTATCCATGCATAGCTCCGGCCCGACCGACAGTTTTCCCACCCGACCCCCGCTGTTCTGCGGGGCGACGGCACCCATGCCGTGCTGGGCCCCTGCCTCGCCCTGGACTCCGAATGCATCCCCGACGCCTGCTTCCGCGCGTGCGCCGATTGCTCCGTCGGCCCCTTGCGTGGTAGGACGCCCGCCCGCCACCTCCCCTCTGCACCCTCCCACTTGTTCCCCCCTGTCGGTCCCCACTCACTTGAGAGTTTCCAGGACCATCTTTTCCACTTGCCGTATTTCTACGCTGCAGAATGCTGACCTCGCCTCGCCTGGCCCTTCGCTCGCGATTCTTGCCTCTGCCGCTGCGTGCCCCCCTCCCGCCCCCTCCCCGCGTTGCGTCGATTGACAGTGCGGCTCTCCGATCTTGTGCGTCCCGCCACTCTTCCCCCTGCCATCTGAAAACCTCCTTCAGCTCGTCCGAGTTGTCTGCTGCCGCGGCCGCTGCGCGTGCACCCTCCGTCGTCGCTGCTGACGCTGCCAGCAGGCCCGACGTCGATACGGGCAGGAGGCCGCGGGGTCTCGAGCCGTTGTTGGTAACGACGTTGCTCCCTTTTCTCTCGTCTCCTCCTCCTTCTCCTCCTCCTTCTCCTCCTCCTCTTTTTCCTCCTCTCTTCTTCCTCCCCCTCCCCCTTCCCTCGCCCTCACCGTCCTCTTCCTCCTCCCCCCCCCTCCTCCTCTTCCTCATTCTCCTCCTCCTCCTCCTTTTCCTCCTCCTCCTCCGCCTCCTCCTCCTCCAATTGGAGGCTGGGCGCCCCTGTGGGCAGAGCGCCGGGCGCGACCCCCCCGGAGAGGCTTCGATTCCCTGGAGACGGGCTCCAAGGCCCGCGCGGTGGCCGCGCAGAACCCCGTGGCGCGCGACCTGCGGCCCCCCTTCCGGGACCTTTCCGCGCCGCCCGCCGGGCGCCTCTCCAGGGGCTCTCTCCAGGGTCTCCTCCTCCTCCTCCTTTCCCCCCTCCCCCTCTCTCCTTCCTCCCTTTTCCTCCCCTCCTCTCCCCTCCTCCTCCTCCTCCTCCTCCTCCTTCTCCTCCCGTTTTTCGTCTCCTCGTCCTCCTCCTCCTCCTCGTCTTCCTGTATTTTCCTCCACATCCTCGTCCTCCTTCTCCTCCTCCTCCTCCGTCTTTTCCTCCTGCTCCTTCTCCATCTCCTCCTCATCCTCCATCGCGTCTTCCTCATCCTAGTTTTTATATTTTTCCCTCCTTTTCCATCTTCTTCCCTCTTCCATCTTCCTCCTCTCCTTCCTTCTCCTCTTCTTCCTCCACCTCCGCCTCCTCCTCTTCCTCATCCTCCTCCTACCCCTCCTCCTCCATGTCTTGCTCCTCCTCCATGTGTTCCTCCTCTTCCTCCTCCTCCTCCTCCTCCGCCTCCTCCTCCTCCCCTTGTTCTCCTCCTCCTCGTCCTCCTCCTCCTCCCCTTTGTTCTCCTCCTCCTCCTCCTCGTCCTGCTCCTCCTCCTCCTCCTCCTCCTCCTCCTCCATCTCATCATCCTTTTCCTCGTCCTCCTCATTCGTATCCTTCTACTCCAACGCCTTCACTTTCATCTCTTCCTCCTCCTCCTCCAGATGGGCCTCTCGGCTGTGTCGGTGTCCACATGTCAAGCAGCTGCGAAGTTTCCTGGCCTGTCTGCTTGCGTTGATTGCACGACATGTTCTTAGATCGTTGCTGGTGGAGTCTGTCTTGTTTAAACACGTCGTACTTATGTTATGAGAACATCGTTGGCGTTCCTAAAGCATTCGTGGGTTCTAAGGACATGTGGTAGGGCTATCGGAATGCCAGGACGGTCGGCCCCTGCTCAAACATGCGAGCCATACCCACCACCCAACGATTTCAAAGGAAGAAGGTGGTGTTCACTTCGCTCGGGAGGTCCGAACGAAGTGACCCCCGCGTCGCCCCGCAGACATCGTGGGGTGATGGGGTAGTTCGGGCTCGCATGTGGCCTCCTACAGTCGGCTTGGTCAAGGAGCTCGAGGTGTCCCCGTGGGAGGGAATCTGGCAGTCATGTGCTGTCCCACACCTCTTCCCGTCTCCTGTGTGGGCCATGTCTTTCCTGGGCGGGCACGGTCCAAACCACTACGGAAAAAGGGAATGTCGATGGGATTCGCCTCGAAATTCTGGCCAGGGCGCAGTCCTGTACAAGGTCCAGGGAGTGGCGGTGTCAGTGCCTCTCCGTCCCCCACCAACTGGGCCATGATATCTCAGCTTCACCAGCCCGCCCCCCAGGTCTATGTTGTTCCAACCTACTTCAGCCTTGACCACGATAATGAATTCCGAGCACCAAGAACGTACCGAAGCTGGATGGTTTTCACGCGTCGGGCCCTGGGAGGCGATACCCGTTCGACATTGTTTCGATACATGCCTGGGTGCTCGAACTCTGGGATGTGGTCCTGGAGTACGACGGGGACAAACATATCCCCAGGGTGGGGAGAGGCCTCGCGCAGCCGGAAAGAGGCTGAGGGGCCTGTCTTCCACCACCACCACCACCAAAAGTTGGAGGGGGGAAGGAGGGGGAGGAGGAGGAGGAGGAGGAGGAGGAGGAGGAGGAGGAGGAGGAAAAGGAGGAAAAGGAGGAGGAAAAGGAGGAGGAGGACCCCTTCCCCATCCTACTCATGGCGGTGCTGGTGGAAAGCAAGGCCTACCAGACGCAGCAGCAGGTCCCCACCCGCAGGCCCGAGGAGGCCAGTGGGGCTAGGGCCGTGCTGCCGGGGGGGGGGCTGGGGAGATCGGCAGGGCGATGCGCACCGGCAGGTGTCTCGAGCAGTGGCGAAGCGTCCTGGCGTGCCTATAGGCCTGCCCTCCTCCTCCTCCTCCTCCTCCTCCTCGTCCTCGTCCTCCTCCTCCTCCATGTCCTCCTCCAGATCCTCCTCCTCCTCCTCCTCTTCCCCCGCCTCCTCCTTCTCCTCTTCCTACTCCTCCTCCTCCATCTCCTTCTCCATCCCCTCCTCTATCTTCTCCTCCTCCATCTCCTCCTCCTCCTCCTCCTCCACCTCCACATCCTCCTCCTCCTTCTTCATAGGGGCCTCTTGGCTAGGCCGGTGCCCACATGTCAAGCAGTGGCGAAGCGTCTTGGCTTGCTATAGGCCTACCAAACAAGTTCTGAGACCCTGCGTGGTTTGCACGACATGTTCTTGGAACATGTCTTGCTGAACATGTTTTGTTTTAACACGTCGTGATTATCTTCCAAGAAGACCGTTTGTGCTCGTAGAACATTCCTGGGTTCTGAGAACGTGCCGTGGTAGGCCTATAGAAATGCTGGGACGGTCGGTCCCTGGTCAACTGTCGGATCGGACTAGGGAGGGAATTTGCAGGGCTCGTTTCGATTCCTCCGATTCGATGCGGTTCGATTTCGGTGGCTGACGATTCCGATTCGATTCGACTTCGGATTCCGATGTGGGCTCCGGTTTTTCCATGGAGGCCTACTGAATTACCGACTTCCGCCGATTCGACGTTTCTCGATTCGGCTGCCGATTTCCGCCGATCCGATGGATTTCGATCGCCGATCCGACTTATCGATTCGATTATTGTCTCTCCTGGATATGTGGGGATGGGGGGGTATACCGATACAGAAACTGTCTCGTCCACTGTTGACACCAAGTACACCTGGGATGACTAGGCAGATCTCCACGCTGAGCAGCACGAGCACGAGTTGCTCGGCCCCAGTCAATATCATCAGGGTATATGGAGGATGTATATATATATACATATATATACATATAGATTATAAACATAAGTATACACATATATGCGTATACTCATACGAAGACCGCTGGTTCACGGTACGCGTCGCTTCATCAAGTGCACGCTTGAGGGATAAGGGCAGAGGTGCAGCAGGCTGCTGGCGACGACCTACACAGGACGAGGTGTCCACGCCTTGACTGCCGCCCTCACCGAGGACGCCGAATTGCGAGGCGCTATCCTGCGGCGGCCGTGCGGGACAGGCCGAGGAGAAAGGGCTGCCGAAGCCGTCGGCGATCCTGTGGAGAACGGGGCGCCGGGGGGGGGGTGGTTCGGCGGGGTGGCCCTCCTCCCTCCCTCCCTCCTCCCTCCATCCCTCCTCCTCCCTCCGCCCTCCCTCCTCCCTCCCTCCCTCCTCCCTCCCTCCCCTCTCTCCCTTCCTCCCCTCCCTCCCCTCTCTCCCTCGGGGCACCAGGGTCCAGCTGGCACCTCCCGGGCCCCCTGGGGGGGGCTGCCAGGTGCGCGGCTGTCGCCACTCGCTCTCGTGGGCCTCGTCTGGGAGGTTCAGCGGAGCGGGGGGGGGGCACGCGGATCCAGTCCAGACCTCGCGGCTCCCTGGAGGGGGCGCCAATTGTCAGGAGCGAAAGAAGGACGTGCACGTACATGAATCCACGCCGGTTTCGAGAGTACGCATTGCCCGAATGTTCGTATCACGCGGGCAGTCTCGCGGATCGAGGGGCCGCATTCATGTACATAGTTGGACGCGTACGTCCTTTGTGGGATCCCTAAATTGCTGCGGTGTCGCCACGTCCGTGGGCTTCTGGCGGGTCCCGCGCAGCGGAGGGACGAGAGCGGATCCCGTCAGGACCTCGCGACCCCCTCAGGGGGTTGCCAAGAATCATGAAAGGAAAAAGCACACAGACACTATTCCCCAGAAAATATAGGAAAATATAGGAAGTGGGGGGGAAGACAGAAACCCAGGAAATGTGGGGAAATATGGAGAACACGTTTATTTGTGTGTATTTACTTGTGTGTCCTGGGGCACCTTCAAAGAAGTCCGCGCCGACCGTGGGTAGTTGGTGTTTCTGCAGTTTCTTCTTCCTCCAGTCTGCCCGATGCCCCCCGCACGCACGCACCGCCGAAGCGTCGCGCGCCCCAGCCCTTGGGAGCGAGCGCCACCACGGCGTCCCACCACCCAATCAGTCCGTGGCGCCGTGGCTGCACGGCACGCTGGCGGAGGCAGTGCCGCCGGATGGGCGCGCGCGTCCGCCGTGGCGCTCGGGCACGGACGGCTCGGGCTCGGACGTCTCGGCGCGCGGCTGCTCCCCCGTCGTCCCCCTCGCACTCCTCAGGCGGGGCCTGCAGCCGTGCTCTGCGCACTCCCCCGGCGCCAGAGTGCCGCTGGGGAGAGTGCCTGCCGCGCCCTCCGTAGAGCACCACAGCGCCGACGCATCGCAGACCGCAAAAGGAGCCTCCGTCAGGAGGAGGAGGAGGAGGAGGAGGAGGAGGAGAGGGGAGGACGAGGAGGAGGACGAGGAGGAGGAGGAGGAGGAGGAGGAGGAGGAGGAGGAGGAGGAGGGAGGAGAACGGAGGTCTCTCCCGCTAGCTCCCGAGCAGATCTTCGGCCCGCCCCCGAGGGCCCGGGGCCGCGGCGCGCGGAGGCGGCCGCACGCGAGCCCGTCCACGCACTTGGGGTGGAGGAGGAGGAGGAGAAGGAGGAGGAAAAGGAGGAGGAGGAGGAGGCGGAGGAGGAGGAGGAGGAGGCGGAGGAGGACCTAAACGTTTTCGTTTTCATTCCGACTTCGTTTTGCGGGAAGGGCGGACCGGAGGGACACAGCGAGGGAACACGAAAGCGAAACGTAAACGGACAACGCCGTTTAGGTGCAGCCTTCCTCCCCACCCGGGGAGCGTGCGCCGAGCATGCCCGCCGCGGCACGGGCGCAGGAGCACATGCCGGACTGGTCTCCGGCGCCGTGACGGCCGCGCAGCGCGCGGACGGTTGCCGCGGCCCGGCCGCGCGCAAGGGGTGGTGGCCCTCCGCCAGAGTGGCTCTCTTGGTGCGGGCCCGCAGCCCCCTCCCCCAAGGTGGCCTGCGCGCTTGATTGTGGCCTCCCATGGAGATTTTCTTTGTATATGCTCCCTACCCTCCCCCCCCCCCCCCCTAACGCAACGCTCCCCCCCTCGGTGCGCTCCTGGCACTACCGCAGTGCGTCCCGCATCACAGTCAGGGGTGGTGGCGCTACGTTGTGCACCCTATCCCAAGGGAGGAAAAACCGCCCGGACCGGACAATTGGCGTTTACTAAATTGCTTTGGGCGTTGATTAAACAGCACTGCCCTGTTTCATTCCTTTGATTGGCGCGTTTACTAAACGGCCTCGCTGGTCGGGGTGGTTATTATGGGGGTGGATTTTTTGCCCGTTACTTTCATCGCCGCCAAGGCTCAGGTGCCCTCCGCTGCTGCTGCTCAGCCTGACGAACGTGGCCCACCGCCATGGATGCGAGTTCGGTCCCATCAGGACAAGCTGGCCCACTTCCAGGGCCAGCTTACTGCGTCGAAGGCGACGGAGGCCAACCTCCGTCAACAGATCACGGAGCTGGAGCAGGACCTGGAGGACTGCGTTGCATCCCAGGCGGCTCTGGCGGAATCGGTCAAGAAGGAAGAGGAGGAGCTCCAGAGGCTCCATCGACGTGCTGCTCTTCACCCTGCTGGTGATGACTGCAAGGCGGCTGTCAACGGGCTGGTGGAGACGCTGTTCGGCCATCTGCCCGAGTCGTTCAGAGTGGCGAAGGCGGACCAGCTCCGCACCGCGGTGGACCTCCTGGGCGACCTGGCTGCTGCTGGGGCCTCTTTCCAGGAGCAGGAGGAAGCACGGCGGAAGGCACAGGCCGAGGAGGCCGCGCAGCGTGCCATGTCGGGCAGCGGCCCTTCGCCAGCCCCAGCGGCACCCTCGGACTCACGTGTGGCGGAGGATTGCAAGCAGCAACTTACTGAGTTGCTGGAGGGCGGACAGGCAGGGCAGTACGAAGGTCTCTACAGGACCATGCTCGATTTCCTGCAGAACCCTTCAGCCCTCAGCAAGAGGCCCAGGAGGGACGCGCCAGGCCCAGAGGCTGCGGCGGCGGCGGCCCCCTCGGCCGCGCCTGGCCCTGCGGCTGCTGATGTTCCTGCTGATGTTCCTATGCCTGCTGACCGCGATGTCGCTGGTGCCCCACCCCCGTCGGGGTAGCGGGGTCGGCGCTGCAGCTGCTGGACGCCGCCTGCCTGCGCCCGCCTCACACCGAGGCAGGTGGCGCTCCCTGGCGGCGCGGGCTGGGGCTACTGGCCATCGACGAGTTCGAGGCGAGAGTGTGCAGGAGGAGACTCCTGCGGTGCAGGAGGAGACTCCTGCGGCCCGTCGGCCTGAGGTATGGAAGCTGTGTACGGCCAACATCACCTCGTGGGGCATCGAGTGCGGGGACAGGGGTAAGGTCACGAGAAGGCCCTTCCTGGAGCTCTGCGACTCTGTGGATGCCGACATCTACGTTTTCCAAGAGCACCACCAGACGGAGCTACGTTTGGTGGACGTTCAGCAGGCGCTGGTCAAGGCTGGCATGGTCTCACTCCTCACTCCTGCTGCCCCCTCAGGTCGTTCAGAGGCTGGCACCACTGGAGGAGTGGGCATTGCGACTTCGAAGCTCTGGGGCCTCAAAGGACTCGATGATTTGCCTGAGGGTATCGCGGTTCCTCCTGGATGTCGATTTCGTCTGGGGCTCTGGAGTGGGTTATGTACTGGAGGTGTTTTAGTCGGATCGGTCTACCTGCACACTGGAATCGGCTGCCGCGGTCAAAATCTTTCCTTGCTGCACAGTATTGGGGAGGTCCTGAGGGCGTATGGCATGCCGTTTATTCTGGGTGGAGATTTTCAGTTTTCAGCGGAGCAACTGGTCGAGTCTGGTTGGATTGGGGATCTTCAGGCTGAGGTGGTCTCTGACGTCTCGAATTGGACCTGTCAGTTGGGTACGTCTCGGTCGTCCATCGATTACTTTGTCCTCTCCTCCTCGCTCAAGCAGTTTGTGGTGAGCTGCTCAGTTGCGACATGGTCTACCAGTACCAGACCGCACCGCCCTGTGGTGTTGAGCATGTCTGGCCACCCGCGGCAGGTGACAGTTCCCAGGCTCAAGAAGCCGTCGGCGTTCCCTCTCCACCGCCCTGTTGGATGCGACCCTCGCCCCCTGGAGTGGGACGACTTGCGTGATCAGCTCTCCCAGGGGGATTGTACCAAGGACCGTTTGGATGCTGTCACTTCTCTGTGGGTTCAAAGGGCTGAGGTGGCGCTTTCTCGCGTATTTCATGTCGATGGGGATCCACGATACCGAGGCCGAGGAGGCCCCCCCAAGGTGGTGCAAGTCCCTCTGCTCGGCCCCCCTGCCTCCACTCACCCCAGGGCTATTGGGGAGGGCCGTATGTGGCGTGTCTTGGAAAGGCGACTCCAGGACATCGTGTATCTCTGGCATGGGCCTGCGCCCACCTTGGGGGGGATCAAACAAGCGGGGATCCTCTTGCGGAAGCTCGTGAACTACCTGTCCCCCTTCACCGATTGCAAGCATTGGGCTTCTTGGCGAGTTCGGGTTCTGGCCGTCAACCCTGCCAACGTCTCGGAGCTCCAGGAGTTGATCTGGCAGGTCCGAAAGTGGGCCCTTCAGCACGAGCATCATGCGGCCTCGGAGCGGGCCCGAGCCTGGCGTGAGTGGGTTCAAGATGCGTTATCTGGGAGCGCTCGACTGGGCCACCGGTTCACCAAAGAGGTTCCGAAGTGGGCTGCATCTGGGCTCTCTTGTTTCTCGGGGCCGTCTGGTGAGCCTCTGGGGATTGCTGCTGAAGCCGATCTTCGGGCTCAAAAGTGGCATCAGCATTGGGGTGTCGGACAAGTTTTCCCAGAGCCTGATTTTGGTTGGTGCGATGACGAGCCAGAGCTGGAGGCCCCCACCCATGAGGAGCTCTTAGCCCTTACCAGGACCTACAGCACGCACACGGCCATCGGAGTCTGTGGCCTGCATCCCCGTCACTGGTCCTTCCTCGACGACGGCGCGGTCGCGGTTTTCCTTCGGATCTGGGCCGAGATGCAGCGCCTGGTTCACATTCCGAGGTGCTGGGCTCTGCTGCTTATTGCTCTTCTACCGAAGCCGCCGCCTGAAGGGGGAGATCGTCCTATTGGGATCTTCGCGACGCCTCTTCGGTTGTGGTCCCGCTGGGCCCGATGGAAAGTTGCTGGCCCTTGGGAAAAGGCAAACCCTCGCGGGTTCTGGTATGGTGACTCAGGGGCCTCATGTGACATTTGCGTTTGGAAGCAGAGTTTCAAGGCGGAGTTGGCCAGAGACCAGGGCAGAGCGGCAGGGACAACCCTGCTCGACCTGGTCAAAGCATATGAGCACGTGCCCCACCATGTTTTAGCTGCAGCAGCCCGTCGGCACAAGTTCCGAGGTAAGACCCTTCGCTTCCTGCTCGCATCATATTGCCTCGACAGAATGGTGCTCTTCCAGAACATCGCCACGCAGGTGGTGGTGACGCACCGCACGATTGTCGCGGGCTGCAGCTGCGCGACTTCCCTACTGCGTCTGGTGCTCTTGTCGCCAGTGGATGCCGTCTCTCTTCGCTTCGTGAATGTCGAGGTGGCGGTCGTGGTAGATGATCTGCAGTTGCAACGTATTGGCGAGGCATGGGAAGTCGCCAGGGAACTCAAGGGGGCCGAGGACCTATTGGCGGCTGAGCTTACGCAGATCGGCTTGACTCTCTCCCTGCCCAAGAAGCACCAGGTGGTCATCGGCCAAGGCATACGGAAGGTGTTTAGGAAAGTCAACCCGTCCTCGTCGAGGTTCCTCACACGCTCGGTTCGGAACCTGGGGCTGGACTTTGGCGGTGGAAATCGGCTTTCTCATTCGGTTCGTGCACAGCGGCTGGGCAGGATGGCGTCTCGGATCCCTCGGTATAAGCGGCTCGCGAAAGCTGGGGGCAAGACGATCAAGCTGGTGCAGACTGGCCTCAAGCCTGGGATGCTCTGGGCAGTGGGAGTTCACGGCATCAGCAACACGCACCTACTGAGCGCCAGGCAACTGGCGCGCGCGGGCATGGTCTACAGGCACACGGGCAGGTCGCTCTCATTGGACCTCATGCTGGCTGGGCCGCAGGTCGACCCCGCCTTCGAGTGCAACAGGAGCCCGATCTTCCTCTGGCTGCAGGCGCTGTGGGACGGATGGGCCCCCAGAGCAGATATGGCGCGACTTCTGAGTGGAGCATGGACACGCCTGTCTAGAGTTCCTGTGTCTCAAGTTTGGTCTGACATTCGCGGACCTGCTTCTGCGCTAGTTGCGACAATTTTGCGGTTGGGTTGGTCTGTATCTGACCCTTTTCATTGGAAGACCCACCGAGGTCCTCTTGCAATTGAACAGATTTCCCCGAAGGATGGAGGTAAGTTAGTTGATGAGGCCACCGAGCGGTGGGTGTGGCGCCAGGTTCTCGCGAAGCATCCCTCGTGGGTCTCGCCCTGCCCTCATCCTCCTCTCGTGGAGCCCCTGAGGTCCCTCCTCCAGCCTCATTCTGTCCGAGGCCCTGACTGGACCCCAAGGCATCAGGGACTGCTGCGGTGCCTGTTTGCAGGAGGTTTCTGGTCGCAGGAGCGACTGTACGAGTCAGGTGGAGCCGTCAACCCGAGCTGCCTTGCCTGTCAGAGTGCTGGATCTACCTGGCACCGATTCTACGATTGCCCCCTGCATACCGAGTTCCGTCGGGATTACAGAGCTGGCAGTGCCATGGCTGGTCAAATGCTAGACATGGCCCGAGCTGCTGCGGTGGATACCTTGCTTTTCACGCGCTTTCTTGTTCCTGACCCTGCTTGGCTCTTCCCGAGCCCCTGCCTCGAGGAGCGAGTCGTGTGGACGGTGCGGTCTCCCGACTTGCTGCTCGATGTGCACGTGTTCGGTGATGGGTCGGGGAGGCACGGAAGTTTCTCTCGCTTACGGCGCTGCGGATGGGGACTCTGTTCGCTTGACGACAGCAAGCGAGTGGTTGCTCGCCTGCATGGCCCTCTGCCCTGTCTCATTCAATCTGTGCCAGCGGCTGAGCTTTTCAGTTTCTTGATGGCGCTGAGGTATATGGGAGCTCAGATGAAGTTTTATACGGATTGCAAGCCGCTCGTGGATGTCTGGCGCCAAGGCGTTGGAGCGGGCACCGCTGCGAGTGACCCGCTTGCCTTACTTTGGAGGGAGGTTTGGAGGCTTGTGTCTGACCGTGGGGGTGAGTCGGTGGAGGTTTCTCACGTCAAAGCGCATACTCCTGCCTCTGCCGTAGCAGAGGGACGGATTTCAGAATGGCAGCGTGTCGGCAATGCCCAGGCTGATCAGTCGGCTAAATGGGGTGCCGCCATGCATAGTGATTCCCTCCAGCTGCGATCTGCGCATGGCGCGTCGCGCAGCGCCATCCGCCTTGTAGCCCAGTTCTGTACCAGGCTGGTCGCTCGGATCGGCACCATCACGCCACGTGACGCCCAAGCGCAAATACTCGGCCGTGCCATAGGCACGATTGAGGGGGGACTTGGTCCCCCGAAGCCGCACTCGCGTTTCGACCCTGCAGTGACGGTGGTTGCGCACAGGTTCCGATGCATGGTGTGCCTTCGGTCAGCGAGGACACGCTCGGTGCTTCGCCAGCTTCGATGTGACGACAGGTCCAGCTCCCACGCACTTCACCGCGCGGGGCCTTTCCTGTTCTGCTCTCTGTGCGGGGCATTTTCGGAAAAGAAGAGCCAGGGTCTTTCGCAGGATTGCTTACCGATGAATCGTAGGCAGGGTGTCCTGGTGAGAGACTCGAGATACTACAGGCTGCGCAACCTCATGCGAGGCTGCCATCCTTTACGGGCCCGCGATTTTGTGGGCCCTCCGATTTTGCTGCGGAAGCGAAGGCTGCTGGAGTCGGCCGAACTGCCGCCTCTGCCTGCTCTTTCTCCTCCTGTCGGGACTGGGAGTGGGGGGGTGGGGGTGGGGTGGACGGGGCAGGAGTGCTCTCCGCCGCCCGCTTTCCAGGCCGATCTGGCCTTGTGGGACGGCCTCTCTGGCTTTCCCATTGCCAGCGTAGAGGAGGACGACGGCGACCCATCCCAAGGTGCGTGGGGTCGGGTCGAATGCGTCCCCTGCGCTGGCTAGCTGTTTTTCAAACGAAGGCTGGTTCGCTTGCGGTCAGTCTCTGTCAGTAAAAGCCGTATCGAAATTCGTGTGCTCCCCCATCCCCGCGACCTCTGTCGAGCCGAGCACGAGCGGCCACTCTTGCCTAGGGTCCATCTGGCGCGGCAGCCGAGCGGCGCTTCTGCCATGCCGCCCCAGGGGCTCCAGTGATCGAGAGGGGCAGGAGGCTCTGGTCAGCGTTTGTGGCTCGGTTGAGCTCTTTCGGGTGGGCGCCCAGGATGTTTGCTTTAAGTCGGGCCTGTCCCCCTACAGGGGGATTTTGAGTCAACGCACCCCTTCCGCACCACCAACCTTTCGCCGTGCCTGCTCTTTCTCCTTGCGCGCACTGCCCTCGTACTGACTGACTGCTTCTGCTTCCGCAGCTATACCACTTTGGCTTTAGGGAAGCGGAAAAGGAGCGAGCCTGCGGCGCGCGCGCGTGCGTCGGCTGGCGGGGCGGCCTCTTCCTTCGGTGTTACCTTACTGTATGCTTGACGACCTGTTTCCTTCTTCCCCATGTCCTCGGCGGAACCCACTGACCATGACATATTATCGGAACATGTTGCAGGGATTGTGAATATCCAGGCGACAAGCATTTTGGGCGAACGGTTAAGAATGCCCCATACATGCCCCAACAATGTACAACACTGCTCAACAGATCGTCCCCGTTCTATGTTTGGACTATTTTTGAATATCCCCCCTGTAGAGGGACAGGCCCGACTTAATGCTTGCTCTGACTTGACCAGGTCGTGCCCTGGAGGCGGCTGTTCCGCGGCGGACTGGTCAGGTCGGTGCTCGGGCGGTCCCAGCCTGTTTTGTTGGCGGTTCGCTTTTTATGAACCCAGCGCTGACCTGGATGTGAGTTTCGTGAGCGGGGTTGGTTGCCCCCCCCCCGTCCGGGGCCCTTGGGCCAGGTTGTTCAAACAGGGGCAGCGTCAGGGGAGGCTCAGGAGGAGACGCATCGACCCCCAATATCTCCCATGCATGGCCGACATGGGGCCTGCCTGCAGACCCCGTCCAGGAGCGGGCGGATTCGCGATCGGGTGGCTTATCGCCGATACATCGGCGATGCATCGCCGGTTCTCAGTCGCTGCTTCCTCCCCTCAGCTGGTCGCCAGAGGCCCCATCGTTCCCCCTTGACTGGGGCACCCCGCCCGACTCGTCCGCGGAAAGCACTGCTGCTGCTGTTTCACCACCGTTTCCGCTCGCAGGCGGCAGGAGGGTTCCCGCCACCACCACTACCGCGTGAGCGAGGATCGAGTGTTGTTTGCGTTGTGTGTGTGTGTTGGATGGGGGGGGTGCGTTTTGGCCCCGCTTGGTTGTCCCAGCGCCCACCTCTCGCGACCCCGAGACCCCCAGGGATTCCAGGAATATGTGGGGGGGCAGAGGCGGTTCAAGGGCGGTGGTGGGCAATTTGGTCAGCCGTTTTCGAGTCAGTCGGGAAATAAACGCAAAAAACACAATAAATCGTCGATCCCTAGGAAAACGTGGGAAACATGGACCGTTGGGGGGAAGACGAGAATCCCCAGAAAAATAGAAAAATCATGCAGGGAATGCTGGGATTTGCGTGTATTTCTCTGTGTATCCCGGGGCCCTCCTCGAGGGACATGCCGTGCACCCGCAGCCCCACCGTTGGGCCGCCATGGCGTTGTGGTGGTGGTGGCCCTCCTCGGCTGCGGTCGTGCTGGCGCCCGGGCAGACCTGCAGCGTCTTGGACTCAGTCACAGCGGGCCTCTTTCCCTCCTCCTCCTCCTCCTCCTCCTCCTTCTCCTGCTCTTCGTCCTCCTCCTGCTCCTGCCCCTCCTCCTCCTCTCTTCCTCCTCCTCCTCCTCCTCCTCCTGCTCCTGCTGTTCCTCCCCCGCCTCCTCCTCCTCATCCTCCTCCCTTTCTCCTCCTCCTTCTCCTCCTCCTCTTCCTCCTTCTCCTCCTCGGGGCCTTTTGGAGGGCCCTCGTCGCCACGGCGGCCGGATCCACCTCGCCGCATCGGGGGTCTCTGTTTTCTGTTAGGTGGGAGGGCGCACGTGACGGCTCGGAAGGCAGCCCCTTCGGGCTCCAGGGGCCCTCGCGAGGCCTCCTCTTCCCCCTCCTCCTCCCTCCTCCTCCAACTCCTCCTCCATCCTCCTCCCCCTCCCCTCTCCTCCTCCTCCACCACCCTCCTCCTTCCTCCTGCTCCTCGCTCCTCCTCCTCCTCCTCCTCCGCTCCTCCTCCTCCTCCTCCTCCTCCTCCTCATCCTCCTCCTCCTCCTCCTCCTCCTCCTCCTCCCCCGCCTCCTCCGCCTCCTCGTCGTCGTCCTCCTCCTCCCTCCACCTCCTCCTCCTCCTCCTCCCTCCACCTCCTTTTCCTCCTCCTCCTCCGCCCCGATGATCGGCCGGAGAGCCCCCCCCGGGGGCCCGCCTGGCGAGAGGACCACGACGCCGCGATTTTTCTGGGAAGCTCCTGCCTCCTGCTGCCGTCTCACCGGCGCCTCCGCGGAGATCTCCGCGTCAGGCGTGTGTTTGTTGGCGTCTCCCCGCGCCTGCGCTGCCTTCTTCCCACCCTCCTGCACCCCAGCCCTGACACCCTGCCTGTAGTCCTGCCACCGTGACCCCAACTCCTAGCACCCTAACTAACCCTAAACCACCCCGGCCCTGACCGTCACACCTTGACCCTAACATCCTAACCCTACCACCCAAGCCCTAGCACCTAAAGTCCTACCCTTCCAACCCACCCATTCCCATTGTGGTGCTGTGTCCGTTATGCAGCGACGGGTTACATGGCGGACCTGGAACCCCATTCTATCATCAGCAATCAGGAGCAGGAATGGGAAGCTGTGTGCGTTTGAATGAGGAGGTGGTGGATGAGCCTGAGGATGAGCAGGAGGAGGATGGAGGAGGGAGGGGGTAGAGGGAGACGAGGGAGGAGGAGGGAGGGAGCAGGAGGTGAAGGAACAGAAATGCTTGTTGCATTTTTGTGCAGCCTCCCAGTGAGGCAGGCGTCGCCGCAGCCGCGCCCTCCTCGATATCGTCGTCAGAGCGTGCTCCGTGGCACCCTGCGGCCCGCGGGGCGAATCTCGGAACTGGAGGAGGGGAAGGAGCACGAGGAGGAGGAGGAGGAGGAGGAGGAGGCGGAGGAGAAGGAGGAGGAGGAGGGGGACGGGGAGGCGGAGGCGGAGGCGGAGGCGGAGGCGGAGGAGGAGGAGGAGGAGGAAGAAAACGAAGAAATATAATAATACGAATGATAAGAATAATGGTAAGAAGCATAATAAGACGAAGACGAAGACGAATAAATCGAAGACGAAGACGAAGAAGACGAATATGACGAATAACGATACTACTCGTAATACTACGTGGGGTACGAATAATAACATGCATACTAATAATAAGACGACGAAGGCGAATCTATTAAGACGACTAATGAGAAACATGCGAATGATAACGGTACGACGAATCATAATAATAGAAATACGCAGGGTATTAACAACAATAGTAATAATAATAAGGCGAATACGACGAACACTAATACGACTATTGATAAGAAGGATCATACTGATAAGAAGATGAAGAGTAGTACAACTGACAGTAGTATTAGTTGTAATAGCAGTACTACACATTTCATACTATTAATTGTAATACCAATACATGCAACACTCATCGTAGGAATACCAATACTCATACGAATACTAATAATAATAACAATGCTGCGATGGAGACGAACATCAATCATAACAATAATACTAGTACTAACAAGACTGATAGTACTGCCACTCATAATACGACGAATAATAAGCATAATACTAATACTAAATAGAATACGAACAAGAAGAAGAGGAGGAGGAGAAGGAGGAGGGGGAGGAGGAGGAGGAGGAGGAGGAGGAAGAGGAAGGGGAGGGGAGGGGAGTTGGAGGAGATGGAGAGGAGGAGGAGGAGGAGGAGGAGGAGGAGGAGGGAGGAGAGGAGAGAAGGAGGAGGAGGAGGAGGGGAAAGAGGAGGAAGAGGAGGCGGAGGAGGAAATGGATAACTCCCTCGGCTTAAGAGGGCCTCTCGGATTAATATGTAAGCAACCCCTCTTAGTCGACCTGTGTCGAGGATGAGGAGGAGGAGGAGGAGGAGGGGGAGGAGGAGGAGAAGGAGGAGGCAGCCCCAGCCCCCTTGCGTCGTGACAAACACGCAAGCACGACGGCTGGTGCTCAGCTAGGTCCGGACTCGGGGGGGCCCTTTGCTGGTTCCAAAGTCCGTCACAGCACAAGGCAGAAGGAAACACTTGTCCCGGGCATTGGGTAAGACCTCTGGGGTGTGCACGTTCTGAAGGAATCACAGCGTCGTAGGTCTGGAGGGGGAGGCGGAGGAGACCACGGGGGAGGAGGAGCAGAATGGAGTACGAGGGCGTAGAGGTGAGAGGAGCATGGGGAGGAGGAGGAGGAGGAGGAGGAGGAGGAGGAGGAGGAGGAGGAGGAGGAAGAGAGAGGATCGGGGCGACGGAGGTGCAGGAGGGAGGATTGGGATGATGAGGTCGAGGGAGGATGAACGTGGTACCTCTCTTTTCCTTCCTGCCTCTCTCTCTCTCTCCTTTTTTCCGCGCGCTCCCTCTTCCACCATCACTATATCCTCCTCTGGCCTCCCCTCGCGAAACCCTGCTGCCTGCCGCCCCCTGCCTCCTCCTGCCTCCTCTCTCGTTCCTCCCTTCCCTCCCTCCTCCATCATCCGTCCACCTAGCTCTCGCTTCTCCACCATCAACTTCTCCTCCCTTTTCCTTTCTTCCTGCCTCCTCCCTCACCCATTCCTGTCTGCACTTTAGCCTACCTCCTCATCCATCCGCCCATTCCTGCTCCCTTCCGCTCCTTGCTGCTCGTACTTTCGCTCTGTCCTTATCCATCCGCTCTGCACCATCCTACAGTGGAGGCCCATGCCAAGAAACACCCTGCTTGCCTCCAGGGTGCCATGGGTTTCTTGGGCTTCTGTGGTTTTGCTGTGGAAGGCGTGACGTTCCCACACCAAAAATCCATGGACGCCCTGGGGTCTCAGGGTTGGGTTTCTTGTGGAAGATTGTTTGTGGACTGGCCTCCACTGTACAACCATCCTCCATCCTGCTTCCTCCCTTCGCCCCTCCCCCTTCCTGCTTCCCCTCCCACCCTCCCCCTCGACTCTCCCTCGCCTCTCTGCCTCCCCCCTCCTCCCCACGTGACCCTCCTCCTCCCGTCCTCTCCTCCATCCTAGACGCTGCCGCCGTCTCGCTGTCGTCCCTCCTCCTCCTCCTTCTCCTCCTCCCTCCTCCTCCTCCTCCTCCTCCTCCTCCTCCCTCCTCCTCCTTCTCCTCCTCCTCCTCCTCCCCCTCCTCCTCTCCCCCTCCTCCTCCTCCTCCTCCTCCTCCTCCTCCTCTCTCCTCCTCCTTCTCCTCCGCCTCCTCCTCCTCCTCCTCCTCTCCTCCGCCTCCTCCCTCCTCCCCTCCTTCCCTCCTTCTCCTCTCCTCCTCTCCCCCTCCTCCTCCTCCTGCTCCTCCCTCCTCCCCTCCTCCTCCTCCTCCTCCTCCTCCCCCTCCTCCCCCTTCTCCTCCTCCTCCTCCTCCTCTTCCTCCTCCTCCTCCTCCTCACTGTCTTATCCCTCCTGCCCCTTTGCCTGCGTGCCCTGGGTGACCGCGGAGCGGTGGACCCCTGCGGGGGCGGACTTCGCAACCAGCCGGCTGCGGCGGCCCGTCCGCCGGAGTCACGCCCGCGCCCGCCTCGCCTCGCCTCGCTTGCCGCGTCCTCGCCTCCGCCTCCGTGCGCGGCCTCTCGCCTCCCGCCTCCTCCCGCCTCCTCCGCCTCCTCCGCCCCCTCCAGCCCCAGCCTGCTCCCGCCTCTTTCACCCCCCTCGTCGAGCACACCTTTGTGGAAGACCGCTCCTTGCATCCGACGGGTGCGTCTCTCGCGTGATCTCCTGGCGAAGGCGCCGTGTACATTCATGATTAGTAAAATCCTGAAGGCCTCGCGCGGCACGTAGTAGTAGTAGTAGTAGTAGTAGTAGTAGTAGTAGTAGTAGTAGTAGTAGTAGTAGTAGTAGTAGTAGTAGTAGTAGTAGTAGTAGTAGTAGTAGTAGTAGTAGTAGTAGTAGTAGTAGTAGTAGTAGTAGTAGTAGTAGTAGTAGTAGTAGTAGTAGTAGTAGTAGTAGTAGTAGTAGTAGTAGTAGTAGTAGTAGTAGTAGTAGTAGTAGTAGTAGTAGTAGTAGTAGTAGTAGTAGTAGTAGTAGTAGTAGTAGTAGTAGTAGTAGTAGTAGTAGTAGTAGTAGTAGTAGTAGAGTAGGAGTAGGAGTAGGAGTAGGAGTAGGAGGAGTAGGAGGTAGGCGTAGGAGTAGGAGTAGGAGTAGGAGTAGGAGTAGGGAGTAGGAGTAGAGAGTAGGAGTAGGAGTAGAGTAGTAGGAGTAGGAGTAGGAGTAGGAGTAGGAGTAGGAGTAGGAGTAGGAGTAGGAGTAGGAGTAGGAGTAGGAGTAGAGTAGTAGTAGAGTAGGAGTAGGAGTAGGAGAGTAGGAGTAGGAGTAGGAGTAGGGTAGAGTAGGAGTAGGAGTAGGAGTAGGAGTAGGCAGTAGAGTAGAGAGTAGGAGTAGGTAGTAGTAGTAGTCGTAGTCGTAGTCGAGTCGTAGTCGTAGTCCGTAGTCGTAGTCGTAGTCGTAGTCGTAGTCGTAGTCGTAGTCGTAGTAGTCGTAGTAGTAGTAGTAGTCGTAGTCGTAGTAGTCGTCGTAGTCGTCGTCGTAGTCGTAGTCGTAGTCGTAGTCGTAGTCGTAGTCGTAGTCGTAGTCGTAGTCGTAGTCGTAGTCGTAGTCGTAGTCGTAGTCGTAGTCGTAGTCGTAGTCGTAGTCGTAGTCGTAGTCGTAGTCGTAGTCGTAGTCGTAGTCGTAGTCGTAGTCGTAGTCGTAGTCGTAGTCGTAGTCGTAGTAGTAGTAGTAGTAGTAGTAGTAGTAGTAGTAGTAGTAGTAGTAGTAGTAGTAGTAGTAGTAGTAGTAGTAGTAGTAGTAGTAGTAGTAGTCTTTTCGTCCACACGTCAGCTCCGTAAGCTATGGGAGGACGCTCGCGCGGCGATGCTCTGGCGTCAGCTCAGCGTAAAGCCGACGCAACTCCGGCGCAGTCAGACGCAAACCCGACGTGCATACGACGTGGATCCGACGCACATCGGGCCTCAAGTTGCCGCGCGAGGCCTCCAGGGATGTCTTCTAACGTGCCACGCGACAGTGCCGATCGCCCATGTCTTTTTGATTCCCGGGCTCGGGAGTTCGCGGCAACGCACGCTGTGGGGCCAGGGGGGGTCTTTGGGGGGGGGGAGGGGGCGCCGCAGTGTCGTCCCAGAATCACAGCCCAAGGGTGTCGGCACGGCCTTCCAAGACCCTGGCATCTTTCGCGTGCATCCCTCCTGTGCTCCTCGCCCGCATGCATCTCGGGTCGTGCCTCCTCCGCTGCCCAGTCTTCGGTCTCTCCTCGTCTTCCCCGAGGCCGCTGGCCTTTCGCCCCTGGCTCGTTCCTCCCTCCTCCCTCGTCCCTCAGTCTTGTTATGGTTCCTTCCGACTCCCATGCCGCTCTCCTCTACGATCTCTCGGCTTCATCCCCTCGGAATGTGTTTCCCCGCCTCCTGTCTACACCTCCGCTCCTCCTTCTTCTCGAGCCCCCGCCCCCTGGCATCCTTGCCCACGGCACTGCTGCTGCTGCCCCGTCTCAGTTCCCATTTCTGTCCTATCACCTCTCCCTGACGTCCTCGTCCTCTTTCCCGCCCCCCCGACCCCGTATCGTCATCCGTGCTCCATCGCCCATGTTCAGCCCCGCCCCGTCGCCTGCCACCGCTCTCCCTCGGGGGGGGGCGGAGGGGGAGGGAGCACGGCAGGGAGGAGGAGGAGGCTGCTTCCGTCCTCAAGTCTCCACTCCCCTCACTCGTGCCGGTCCCCCGTCCCCGCCGCCGGAGAGCTCATGCTCCCTCGAGCCACTTCTCTCTTGTGCTCCGCTTCCCTTCTTTTTTCTTCCTCCCCCCGCCTGGCTCCCTCCCCCACTCTTCCCTCGCGGCTGGCTATATCGGTATTATATATACACACATATATATTTATAGACATACGTATATAGAGAGAGAGAGAGAGAGAAGATATCCCTCCTCCCCATTCCTCCGTCCCTCTCCCCCCACCCCAGACCCTGAGCGTCGTGCTGTTTTCTGCAGCGTCGACTCCCAGGGGTCCCGTCCCCTTCCCCAGCGCCGGTTTCTCATCCCGAGACGGTCTCCGACGACCCCAGGGCCCGGCGGGTGCCCCCGAGGGCCGACAGAGCCAAGCACCGCCCGCCGATTTTTTGTTTGGGGCTTTTATCCCCCAAAACCATCCTTTGGTGTCGGTTCCTCGTTTTGGAGAGAGAGAGAGAGAGAGAGAGAGCCTCGCGTTCCTTCCTTCCTTCCTTCCTCCTTTTTCCTCTCCCTCCTCCTCCTCCTCCTCCTCCTTTTCGTCCTCCTCCCCCCCTTCCTCCTCCATCCCTGCCTCTGCCCCCCGCGTGTCCGCGCCAATCAACTATGTCGGCACACCCCTCACACGCTTCGTTGCCCCATAGGGAGCTCCACTTTAGGCCCCAGTGGCTGCGCTCGCATGCCCCCGCCGCGCTCATTTCGGCAGACCCCTCACACGGTTCGTGGCCCCATAGGGAGCTGCACCGAAGGCCCCAGTGGTTGCGCTGGCATGCGCCCGCCGCACCCAGTTCGGGACACCCCTTCCACGCCTCGTGGACCCATAGGGAGCTGCTCCGAAGGCCCCAGTGGCTGCCCTCGCATGCGCCCGCCGCACCCATGTCGGCACACCCCTCACGCGTTCCGTGGCCCCGTTGGGAGCCCCACCGGCGACAATATTCACATTCGCGTTACTCCAGGTTTCGTAATAAAAGGGAGGGGGTCTGGACCCTCCAAGACAAGCCATGTCAGACCTCCCCCGTGGGAAAACCCTCCAACATATCGTCCCCAGACCCCCCAGGCCCTCCAAGATAGCCTGGAAGAACCCCCCCTCGAAATGAGACCCCCCTCCCTCTATTACGAAATGTGGAGTACGCACCACTTCATAGATGGTTGGCTCCTTCGCCAGGCTCACCTTCACGACGCGAAGGGGTCCGGAGCCCCTGTCTCTCTCCCTGCCCTTCGCTCCCTCCTCTCCTCTCTCCCCTCTGCCCGCGCCCTCCCGCCGAGGGGCCCCGCCCGCCGGAGGTGCAGCCCGAAGCTCACCAGCTGCTCCCACCTCTTCTGTGGCGACTGCATCGCTCAGTGGTCGCCCCGCCCCGCGCCCCCCCGCGGACCCCCGTCGCGGCGCGAGCAGAAGTCACCACGGCGGCAGGCCTGTGGCACCCTTCGGGCTTCGGGGCGCCCTCGCCCTGCACGGGAGCCGTCGGCAGAACTGATGGGCTTGTTTTCCACCACTGCCACTGGCTGGAGGGGGAGGGGTTCCCTCTCCTCCTCTTCTTCGTTCTCCTCCTCGTCCTCCTCCTTTTCCCCCTCCAACTTATGGTGGTGGTGGTGGAAAACAGGCCCATCAAGAACGACTCAGGCTGAGAAGCCGGTCTTGTGGAACGGGTCGGGTCTCGGGGCTCAAGGCGGGCACGAACGAAGTGGGTACGGAGAGAACGGGTACAATGCCCAACAGCAGTTCCTGTCCGTTTTGAACAGGACTTGCTGTCCGCGACGCCGCGGCCTGTGTCCATTTGTCGGGCGAAGGGAACTATGCACATGCACCGATCCTGGCAAGGCCCATTTTTGACCCAGGATCGGTGCATATACCTTCCTAGCCAAGGTAGGAGGGCGTATGCACCGATCCTTGGCTCAGGATGGGGCTGGCCAGAATCGGTGTAATGATGTGCATATTTCTCTTTCCTCTACATTTGTGGCAGAAGGCCGCCTGTCCAAGGCCGCTGTTGGTTTGGGTCAAGATTTGTTGCTGGGCATTGTGCCGATAGTTTCCGTAACCATTCCGGGCGTCCAAGCAAGGGACGGGGGCCAATGCAAACGGGGGTCAGCCAGGGCGCCAGATTTTGCAGGATCCTGCAGAGCCAGGTCTGCGTTGACCTGAGTTTGCGCGCAGGATCCTGCAGGATCCTGCAGGATGCCGCACTGCCTCGGGTCTGCGTTGGCCCGGCTCCAGTGTGTGCCCGAAGGTCCGCGTCGGCGCAAAGAACGGGGCCGCCCGCGCCGACACTGGCGCGTGAGCTGCCCGTGCAAGCTCGTGCGTATAGTCACCACCCACCAAACCACCCCAACCCAACCCGAAGGCTCAGATTTAACCTCGATTTCCAGTGGGGGGGGGGTCGGGAAACATAGAAAAAACGAATGTGAAACCCTTACCCCCCCAACCTGAAATTCGGGTCTTCGGGTTGGGTTGGGGGCGCGCACGTGGCGTCCAGGGCCTGGGTCCCAGGGCTCGAGCTAAACGGTGTTCTGGCCATTTCGTGGACCGTTTTCGTTGTGACTTCGTCTTGCAGCAAACGCGGAACGAAGACAGAGCTAGGGATGACGAAGACAAAGCGAGAACGGACAGCACTGTTTAACTCGAGCCCCGCTGGGTCCCCCCGCGCCCCCGCGCCCCGCCCCCCGCCGCCGGGCCCCGCCTCGGAGGGCCGGCTCTCCCCGACGCCCCCGGCGCGCCGCGAGTCTCGCGCTTCTCGCTCGAGCGGGGCGTGTTTTTTTTGTTGTTTTTTGGCTATTCCGGTGGGCCGCGGGCGCTGGAGCGGTCCGGCGTGGCCAGTTCGAGGAGAGAAGTGAGGAGGAGGAGGAGGAGGAGGAGGAGGAGGAGGGGTGAGGAGGAGGGAGGAGGGGAGGAGGAGGAGGAGGAGGGAGGAGGAGGAGGAGGAGGAGGAGGAGGAGGAGGAGGAGGAGAAGGAGGAAGAGGAGGAGGAGGGAGGAGGAGGAGTAGGAGGAGGAGGAGGAGGAGGAGGGGGGCCCTGGCCGTGGTTTTTCTTGGTGGTGTGGGAGCTGCTGACGTCCGCGCCGCCGCGGGCGTTGTCCAGCGAAGACAGAATCGGCCACGCGCAGAGGGGGGAGGGGGGAGGGGGGAGGGGGGAGGGCTTCTCAGAAGGCGCGGGACTTATCTATAGATGGAAGGCCGGCGCCTTCTGAGACGCAGCCCCTTTTAAGAAGCCCTTCCCCCTCCGTCCACCCCCTTGTTCGCGCCGCCAACAGACAGCCGCCTGCCCAACAGCGGTCGCTGTCGGTTCTGGTCGACAGGTGCTGTTCGGCATTGTATCAGTTTTTTTCCGTACCTTTCGGGGCCCGAATTTGGAAGCCACGTGGGTCCGACGCCCTCCTTTGTCGGGGGCGTCACGGGCTAGGGGGGGACTCGGGCCAGAGGTGTGTGGATGCCATGGGCGGGGCAATGGATGGCATCTCCGAGATGTCATTGCCACGTTTTCAACACGTTCCCTTGTCCCAACCGACCCCCCACGTCCGCGAACATGCCTCGGGTCATGATGCGCTAACCTCCATCATCCTGCTCCCCTTCACCTGCGCACCGGGCCCTCCCCTCCTTCCGCCGATCCGGGATTTGGGCCGCATCGGGGTGCGTGACGTGGCCATGGCTGGTCGAGGTTAGCGCTGACCTGGATTGGCGCGTCCCCGACCAACAAGCGGAAATGGGAAAGGCAGGGCATGGAGGACTGCACGCAGACTGCATTCCCCATGCCCGCAATCTGCACGTTTCCATGACGGTTTGATCATGTTACGACGGCTGCCATTCTTGGTAGAACCAGGCCCCTTTCTGGGGCATCATGACACAACCAAGCAAGCTTGGCCCCTGTCTCGCTCTTGAGCGTTTTTTTTGTACGCGCGACGGTCATGCCGACCTTTGCCGAAAGCGCTCGCCAAATCTATGGTTGGGCCATTCGGAAATCAGCGTTACGATTCCACAGCGTGGCGTGGCTAGTTGTAGTCTTAAGGGCTCCCTGGGTTACCTTCAGCCATCATGCGGCCATCTTTGGACACTCTTGTGCCATTCTGTGGTATTGGCGTCCCTAGGCGATGGGATTCTGGACGGTGAGATGACGGCTGAGGAGGGAAGGGAGGGGGAATCGGGAGGAGGAAGGAGGGAGGGGACACGGAGAAGAGGGGAAAGCGAAAGACGGAGCAGCAAGGAGTGAGTGGAGGTCATGCTATTACTGGTTCGCGTTCTCGAGCTAAGTACGATGGCGATATTTGGAAGGGCCTGATGAGTGCGAGGCAGCCCTTAATACAGCACTGTTCGTGGAACGTGGTAATGGCATTAGCTGGCTCATAGTTTCGAACGCCACAGGCACCTCTTGCACCGACTGCATATGGGTATGTCGCGGTTGAGGCCATCCAGAGCCATTGTAGCGGGTAACAAGTGCGGTCACAACTTTGTTACGCAGTTCGAACGGTGAGCGTCCCGTAACCATTGGCGACGCTCAAAATTGTTTGCAAAGTGTCTGCCGCCATAAACACATTCCCAATGTTTGAGCGAATGCGTGGCCTGGTGCCCTCATTCGATGCGAGTGATCACAGTGGTGGGGTCGAACGCTTTTACACCATCCCTGGGTTCGTGAGTGAAGTGGGATACCGTGGGCGGGATTATGCTTGCTCGTCGTTCGTGGAGTTGTCATGTCGAAAGAATAATCGTTGTTCATCACCCGTATTGTTTGTTCAATTTTGTTTGTACGTTGTGCCCCTATCGATTTATATGGGAATCGCGTTATCGCTTAACACTTTGTCGCGATTCATGCGGACTAACGTTTCAGCGACCCGCCCGCTCGACCCGTTCATTTGATCCCGCCCGACCTGCCCGTCAGGGCCCGCCCGCCCGACCCGCCATGCCGTTTGTTTGGCTGCTCCTCACCCGTACTCTGAATCTCTCTCGTGGTGCATCCTCCCCCTCCCTTGCCCTATCCGCCCTCCTTCATGTCAGGGGCTGCGGCAACTACACGTCGCAGATAACAAAGATATAGCCCCAATGGGGATACGATTGAAAGCGAAGGCTGTGGGTATCGATGGTATGGGATTCACATGGTGAATGCCACGCGAGAAAATGAACACGATCAGTCTTATACATATGAATGTTGTTGACGTCCCCTGTGACCCACCCCGCGACGCGATCTACCCAACAACCCACCTGCGACAGACCCGCGACCCACCTCGCGCCTGGCCCCCTCACTTTGATTCGAAACTGCAGGGTGCTGCGAATCTTTTAGAGGCACTGTGGCAGGTTTCTGTTCTGTCGCCACGGTCTCACACTCATTGACATTGCTTCACATCGAAGCCTTCTCGGCCCAGGCCGGCCTCGGATCAAGGAATTTTCGCCCATCCATGTTCCTCAAACGGAGTCCGAGTAGATGGGGTCGGAGGATCGCCCCGCATCGCCGATGTACCGACGACGCGGTTCGGTGTGAATCCAAAATTTCTCCACGCCGATGGCGCCGATGCCTTTTCGATGCGTTGCCGATGCATCGCCGATGCGTCGCCGAGGCGGCGCGATCTTCCGCCCCATCTAGCAGGACCCCATCCTGACTTTTCGGCGGCGAGCGAGGGGGGAAGGAGGAGCAGGAGAGGAGGAGGAAGGAAGAGGAGGAGGAGGAGGAGGAGAAGGAGGAAGAGGATGAGAAGGAGGAGGAGGAGGGAGAGGAGGAGGAGGAGGAGGAGGAGGAGGAAGGGAAGGGAGAAGGAAGGGGAGGAGGACGAGGAGGAGGAGGAGAAAGAGAGGAGGAGGAGGAGGAGAAGGAGGAGGAGGAGGGAGGGGAGGAGGAGGAGGAGGAGGGGGAGGAGGAGGAGGAGGAGGAGGAGGAGGAGGAGGAGGAGGAGGAGGAGGAGGAGGAAGAGGAGGAGGAGGAGCAGGAGGAGGAGGAGGAGGAGGAGGAGGCCTCTAGCCCAGGATCCCTCGCGCTCGGGGGCCGAGGCGGCCAGAGAGGCCTACCGAGATGCCGAGCGCGGGAGGCTCCGAAGATGCCGAGCGGAGCAGCGCTCGTCGCCCCGGGGAGGAGCGCGCCAGCGGCCCCGAGCCGGGCGCGGGCCGGCGGAGCTCCAGCAGTAGCTTTGGGGAGGAGGCCGATTTGGTGGGCCAATGTTCCACCACCGCTACCACAGGCAGGGCGGGTGACCTCCGGGCATCTACGTAGAAAACAACAAATCGGCCTTCTCCCCTCATCCTCCTCCTCCTCGTCCTTCTCCTCCCTCTCCTCCTCATTCTCCTCCTCCCTATGGTAGCGGTGTGGTGGGAAGTCGACCCATCAGGAGGCTCGGGACGGTGGAAGTGGGTACGGGAAATCTGGATACGATGCCCAACAGCAGTTCATGCCCATTGTGAACAGGACTCGCTGTCCTCGCCGCCGCGGGCGCTGCTCATGGAAGAGAAATAGCCGCCTGCCCAACAGCGGCCGCTGTCGGTTTTGGGCAACATTTGCTGTTCGGCATTGTGCATTATTTCCGTACCATTTCGGGCGTCCAAGAGGCGGGTTGGCGTGAGCCGGTGCGGTTTGTGAGGTGTTTGGTGTGTTTCCGCCAGGGTGCAGCCCCTGGGAGTCGTTGGGCTGGGCAGCGGTCGAGGAGAAACCAATGGCATACACGCAAGTTTTCGGAGGGGTCCGCGCGGATTCCTCGAGTCGACGCTCGAGCTGCCTGGCGCACTCCGCGCGCCAGGGAGGGGTGTCCAACGCCGATTCAAGAGGTACGCGTGAACCTTCAGAAGTGTTCAGTGGGGGCCCTTGCCAAGAAGCACCCTGCTTGCCTCCAGGGTGCCCTGGCTTCCCAGGGTTTCCGTGGTCTTTGCCTCAGGGAAGCGCGACGCTCCCACGCCAGACATCGAGGGACGTCCTGGGGCCTCGGGGTTGGCTTTCTTGTGGCAGGTTGCTCGTGGTCGGGCCCCCACCTTAGTGGGCCCTGGAAACGACAGGGCCGTTTTTTTACTGGTTCCGTTTTTCCGTTTTTGTTGCCGGTTCCGACGCCGTTTTTTTACCGGTTCCGTCGCCGTTTTTTGACCGGTTCCGGTTCAGGTTCCAATCCTGGAGCCGTTTTTTTGCCGTTTCCAGTCGCCGTTTTTTTACCGTTTCCATTTTCAAGGGACATTGTTTTGGAAACGGTGAAAAAACGGCCTTGCCGTTTCCTGGGCCCACAAAGGGCCTGTCCCTCTACAGGAGGTTGATTCAAGGAAAGTAACCAATAATCTGGGATCGTTTTTATGTGAAACATGTTTCTTGGTGTGTGTGTGGCTATCTTTGATTGCTTTTGCAGAATCCGCCATTCTCAATCTTCCTTGACTATTCATTAAGTTTCTTCCAGAATCCGCCTGTAGGAGGACATGCCCGACCTACATCCAGCTTGAGGGCCTCCTTTCCACGCCCACGACTCCAGCAACTGCCCCCTGTGTTCCCGTGCAGCACTTTTACCTTCCTGAGGGGACTGCACAGGGAGTTCGGGGGATACGTCTGCATAGCGACGCTGCAGTACGGCTGCAACCAGGGCATGGGCCTGGCGTTCAGTGCCATGGCGTTCAAGATGCTCTATCTGCAGGAGCCTTCTGCGGGCGGCTTTGGCCTTGGGGGCGCCGAGAGTGCCCGCCTGCGGACGGTGGCCCTGGTTCCTTGGAGCATCAAGCCACTCATGGGCATGCTGTCGGACGCTCTGCCTTTGTTCGGCTACCGTCGTACCTCGTACCTCATTGTTGCCGCTCTGTGTGGCGTCGTTGCCTTTGGCGTCGTGGGTTTCTTGCCGCTTGGTCCCCGGCAGAATGTGCCTTTCCTGTTTCTGACTTACGTTTCCGCCGCCGGGCCCGACGTATTGGTTGATGCCGTCACATGCGAGCTCTCCAAGAATGCGCCTTCCCACGCCTCCGACTTGCAGGCTCTCTCTTGGGGCTCGCTCGCGGTTGGAGGCATCATTGCTGCACCCTTGGTCGGTTGGCTCGCGGAGCAGTTGGCGCCGAGAGTCCTTTTTATGATTTGCATAATCTTCCCCCTCTCGATCCTCCTTCCTGGCTGTCTCGGCTGCCTCCAGGACGCACGAGTCCCTAGTCGCGACCGTATGTGCAATGGGCGATGGTTCAGGGAGAACCCTGCCCTGGCCATGAGCGCGGCTTGCCTATCGGTGGTGTCTTTCAGCCTGTCAGGGCTGCAACTCTTTGTGACGAGCTTTCTTGTGCGCGGGGTTGTCACAGTAGTCGCTGGGCTGGTGATGATCATTTGCGCGTTCGTAACGTTACGCCGCATATCGTTCATGCTCGCCAAGGTCGCCGTGTTCATTTTCGCGCGCGAGGCACTCCAGCCGTACGTGAGTGACGCATTGTTCCAGTGGCAGAGGAAGCACCCAGAGGGGCCTCAGTTCAGTACTTCGTTTCTGGGCGTCGCTGACATGTTCGGATACTTGGGGCTGCTCGCGGGAGTGGTGATCTATAATAACTTTCTGACTGGCATCTCATTTAGGAAGATTTTCGCGTTCGCGCAGGTCTGCCTGGTGATTTCCAACCTTGGCGACTACGTGATGGTGAGGCGCTGGCATCTGAGCTTGGGAATCCCTGATCACATCTTTCTTCTAGGCGACGAGGCCTTCACCGAGTGTATGCGCCGGTTCTTCGTCATGCCCATGCTAGTGTTGGCCGCGAAAGTGTGCCCGAAGGACACGGAAGCCACGCTTTTCGCCATGCTGATGGCTTTCTCCAACTTCGGTTCATCCATAGGACAGTTCCTCGGATCCACGTTGCTCGAGTTCCTTGGTGTCGTTGACTGCTACGCGGACATGGCCCTCGAAGCCCCGCGCGCCTTGAGCGAGGAGGAGTATGTGAAGAAGGGCTGTGGCAATCTCGACAAGGCCATATTGGTCAAAGCTCTGTGCCGTGCATTGCCCCTGTTGATCATTCCAATCCTCGTCCCCGATGGTACGCCAGACGGCCCCGCAGACGACGACCCCAACGCTTGCGAGAGGAGCAGCGAAGAGGATGATACAAGTAGCGAGATGGACTGATTCGTTGTACGAGCGATTTGCTTCATCTTCCATAATTCCATCAGCTCTGGTGCACTGGCTCAGGGATTGACTGTACAGGAACAGTCCTCGCGTCTACATGCCGGGCGCCGTTCTCGGCACCTCGGATTGAGATGCTGGTTTACGTTAAGCGTTAAGCTATCTCACACCGCCAAGAGAATTGTTCTCCTTACAGGTCCGTTGGTGTCGCGCGCAATGCGCCGCTCGCACGCATTGCAAGCGATGGGCGGTGCGTGTGTGGTGTTTTCTCTGTCCCCTTTCTCCTTGCTCGAGTCGGTGACAAGGAAGTCACATGCGCGAGTAACCATAAAGTATCCATTCCTGGAAAGCGCGCCACTGGATCACCCGGTAATTGAAAAGGGGGGTGCTCACAGAACCCCCCCCCCTCCCCTCCTTTCAAGGGGGGGTGAGATTTTCGACGCCCCCCCCTCCCCCCTTTGCACCGAACACGGGGCCGGGGAGGGGGGGAGGGGTCTTCTCCCGCTTGTTTTTTTTGCGCGGGACAAGGAGGGTAGGGAGTGCAGAGTAGGGAATAGTGTGTAGAAAGTAGTGAGTACTAAGTACTGCGTAGTGAATAGCGAGTAGTGAGTAGTGGGTAGTGAGTAGCGGTTAGTGAGTAGCGAGTAAGGCATCGGGAGTAGGGAGCGGGAAGTAGTGGGTCGTGAAAAGTGAGTGCTGAGTATGAAATTGCAAAGTAGTGCATAGTGAGTGGTGAATACTGATTAGTGAGTAGTGAGTATCGAGTAGTGAGTAGAGAGTAGTGAGTAGACAGTAGTGAGAAATGAGTAGGGAGCAATGAGGAGTGAGTGGTCGGTAGTGGGTTGTTGGTGGTGAGTAATGAGTAGTGAGCAGTGAGTAGTGGGTAGGTCATTGTGAGTAGTGAGGGGGGAGTAGAAGGTCGTGAGTAGTGAGTAGTGCGTAGTGAACTAGGTAGTAGTGAGTAGTGAGGAGTGAGTAACCCCATGCCCACGATAATAATGTACCCCCCCCTTAAGTCGTTAGAGTTTTTTACCGACGACCAATAAGAGTTTGGTCGGGGGCGCGGGGGCGCGGAGGCCGAACTTCATTATCATTGGGAAAGTTCGCCATCGAGGTTATTTCCTTCTCATGCTTCTCGTGCTCTTCCTCCTCCTCAGCATTATCATCTTTATTTTCTTCTTTATTGATCTCTATCTTTCTATTTGTTTCCTTCTTATCTCCCTGCCCCCCTGAACTTGTTTATCGCTGGGGTTGATTATCCTGGGAAGACTAAGCACGTGAGCTACCCTACGCGAGCAGATGAATTTTTTATGTTCATTAAGTGCTTACACATTAAATCTAATAAGTTTTGAACTTTGGATTTTTGCTTTTTCCTCTTCCTCTGCTTCCCCTGCTCTTCCTCCTTCTCATCCTTATGATCTTTCTTTTCTTCTTTCTTTATCTCTCTCTATATGTTTGTTTCTTCTTGTCTCCCTGCCCCCTGAACTTGTTTATCGCTGTGGTTGATTATCCTGGGGGAACTGGGCAAAGCGAGCAGATGGAAACCTTAATTTCCATTAAGCGTTTACAAATTCAATCTAATACGTTTTGAACTTTGGATTTTCGCTTCTTCCTTCTCCGCTCCTCTCTCCTCCTGCTCCCCTGCTCTTCTTATTTTCCTTATACATATGCATGTTCTTTGGATTTCCTTCTCTCTCTGGCAGCTTGATATCTCTTTATGCTGGCTCTGGCGGGCAACTTTTAGGATCCCCCCGAAAACCCCGAACTCTATTATCCCTTAGGGTTTAGTATCGGGGGCATGGGGTTAGTAAGTAGTGAGTAGTGAGTAGTTAGTGATGAGTAGTGAGTAGTGCGTAGTGAGCCGTGAGTAGTGACTAGTGGGTAGTGGGTAGTGAGTAGTGAGCAGCGAGTGGCGAATAGGGAGTAGTGACTAGTGAGTAGAGAGTAGGGCGTTGGAGTAGTGAGTAGTGAGGTGGAAGCAGTCGGTAGTGAGTGTCGAGTAGGGAGTAGTGAGTAGCGAATGGTGAGTAGGGAGTAGTGAGTGGTGAGTATTCAGTAGTGAGTTATGAGTAGTGAGAAAAGAGGAATGGGTAGCTTGTAGTGGGAAGTGAGTAGGGAGTAGCGAGTAGAGAGTAGTGAATAGTGAGCGTCGAGGCGTGAGTAGTGATTAGTGAGTAGATAGTAGTGGATAGTGACCAGTGATTAGTGACTCGTGATGTTTGGGTAGGGACTAGTGAGTAGTGCGTAGTGAGTAGCGGGTCGTGAATAGTGCGTATTGGGTAGCGAGTAGGGTGTAGGGAGTAGCGACTTGTGAGTAGTGTTTAGCGAGCACTGTGTAGGGAGTAGGGAGTAGCGAGTAGCGAGCAGTGGATAGTGAGTAGTAGGTTGTGGGAAGTGAGTGGGGAGCATTGAAGTGTGAGTAGCGCCTAATGGGTAGTGGATAAATGTTAGTGGGTAGTGAGTTGTGAGTACTGCGTGGTGAGTAGTGGGTAGTGAATTGTGTTTAGTGAGCTGTGGGTACTGAGTAGAGGGTACTGTGTAGTGTGTAGTTAGTAGTGAGTACAGAGTAATGAGTAGGGAGTAAGGATTAGGGAGTACGGAGTAGTGGGTGGTGGGCAGCGACTAGTAGGGACTGAGTAGTGAGTCGTGAGCAGTGAAGAGTGAGTCGTGAGAAGTGAGCAGTGAGTAGCGAGTACTGAGTAGGTTGTAAGTAGTGCGTAATGAGTAGTGAGTACTCTTTGGGGCTAGGGTTTGGGGTTAGGGGTTAGGGGAAGGGTAAGGACAAGGTCCCTCCCCGCCCGCAAGCCGTCTGGTTCACTCCCGCCCGCCCACCCAACAAATACGTAGCACCCGAGTCTGGCCCGAACCTCAGCATATTCAGCAGTCGTCTTTGGATGGACAGCTATTAGGGGCCAATCCGCCGCCGCCGCCGCCGCCTCCGCCGCCGCCGCAGCCGCCGCCGCCGCCGGCGCTGCCGCCGCCGCCGCCGCCGCTGCCGCCGCCGTCGGCCGCGCGCGCCGCGCCGCCGCCGCCGCGCCGCCGCCGCCGCTGCCGCCGCCGCCGCCGCCGCCCCCCCGCTGCCAAATCGCCGCCGCCGCCGCCGCCGAAGCCGCCGCGGAAGCCGCCGCCGCCGCGCCGCCCCCCGCCTCCGCCGCCGCCGCCGCCGCAGCCGTCGCCGCCGCCGCAGCCGCCGCAGCCGCCGCAGCCGCCGCCGCCGCTGCCAAGTGTACTGTGTATTGTTTTATGTCAGGAATGGTGGGGGGAGGCAGCATCGGGTTGGCGGCGCATGCGCCGAATTTGGAGACAGACTGCGTTTCGTATGGTATTCCACAAGGGATGGTGTGGGGGGGGCCCTCATGGTTCTTGGTTGGCTTCCCGTCGCCTGGGGGTGGGAGTGTTTACTAATAAGGAACAACAGCGGTTTAGCGTTAGGGGTGGTAGGGGTCGGGTTCCGGACCCCGGGGGCGCCGTGGCGAAAGGGGGGGAAAAGGGGAACGGGGTTCGAATTTGGCGGCCAAAGGGGGGGAGGGGGAGGGTTCGGACCCTCCCTTTCGAAGATGGGGGGGGGTCCCCCGACGACGGACCGGCAAAGGGGTGGATGGGCGGGGGGGGGTCCCCGACGACGGACCGGCAAAGGGGGGGCAGGGGGGGGTCCCCGACGACGGATCGGGGAAACGGGGGGGACGGGTTCCCCCCCTTGGGGACATCCATCGGCGCGCTTTCACATTCATGTGCATATGTATGGGTGAACATATATATACACACGTGTTTTTATATGGATAACATCTGTCTGTATGTGTGTATGTGTATATATTTGGATATATATCATACACCGACATAACACAATTCACGGGGCTCACAGCTTGGAGGGAAGTCGCCGCTACCTAGGTATTTGTTTTTTTCTCTGGTCAGAAGGGGGGTTGTTCAGCAGGATGCCCCCGAGAGAAGGGACGGATCCCCACCCGGGGCGACAGGTGATCCCTCGCAGCCCGACGGGCTTTTGGAGTGTCAACCAGTTTCCCGTGCTGAGCTGATCTCACGCGTGGCACTCCTGCATGGTTAAGTTGGCAAGATCTGGTTTTAAAGGAAAGTTGTACAGTCAACCAGTATAGTAAGGCGCGCGAGAAGGATGCAAGGGCCTTGGAAGGCCGTTTCGAGGCTTTCCGAGCGGGGCGCGGTCAACGCAAGTTGCCAAGGATGGACCGAGGAGGTAAGCATGCAGGGGTACCCTTGCGAAGGTTACCCATCCTTACTATGCGGGTTGACTGTAGTAGTTACTCTCCGCATTGTATGCCGCATCCCCTTGGAAGCAGGGAGATGAGGACGATCCCTTGAGCGTATCATGTCTGCACCCCCCTTTCTCCGTCAACAGAAGCACTTGCGTGCCCAGTCTTCCGGGCCTGCAGTCCACCCGCACAGGAGGGATCGGCAACCTTCTCACCCATCCTCAGTGACTGTCGCTGGCCAGCCTCGTTCGAAGAACGTTCACGTGCATCCTTGCCGCGCATCCTCACGATACGGGTTGCCTCTGTGCATGCAAGCCCTTTGTGGGCCCCGGAAACGGCAGGGCCGTTTTTTCACCGTTTCCGAAAAAATGTCCCTTGAAAATGGAAACGGCAAAAACACGGCGACCGGAAACGGCAAAAAAACGGCTCCAGGATTGGAACCGGAGCCGGAACCAGTCAAACCACGGCGACAGAACGGGTAAACAAACGGCGTCGGAACCGGCAAAAAAACGGCAAAACGGAACCAGTAAAAAAACGGCCCTGTCGTTTCCAGGGCCCTTTAAGTCGGTCCGAGGCCCTTGCATCCTTGCCGCGCATCCTTTCGATACGGGCTGCCCCTGTGTTTGCAAGCCCCGCTTCCCTGCGCCCTCGTCTCCGCTCCCCGGCTCCCCACCGCCATCTCCTCGCTGGAAGCCACACTGTGGCCGAGCCCCCGCCGCGCCCCGCCGCTGGCCGATGCGAGCACGGAACATGCCGCGGGAAAAAACACACTGTGGGACAATAACACAATGGGAAAACACACAAAAACACACACACACACACACACACACTGGGAAAAGTCTGTGGGAAAAACCACACTGTGTGTTTTTTTCCCCCACTGTGTGTGTGTGTGTTTCCCACGTGTGTGTTTTTTGCTCCCACGTGGACGCCCCGACGCGCCGCAGCCGTCACCCTCGCCTCGACTGGACAGTAGGCACTCCTCGAGGGGCGCTGAGGCGATGCAGACCGGGGCGGGCATACGTGTAAGTCGGCCGTGTCCCCCCGCAGGAGGAACATTCAAGCATAGCCATAAGTAGCCAGGGGACGATGTTTCCACTATTGTTTACTCGTGCTGAATTTGTTGGTGTATGTTTGTAGCTTTCGCCCACAATCTGCCTGTAGGAGGACATGCCCGACCTACGACCACGGCGGTCATACATTCGGCGGCGAGCCCAGGGGGGAAGTCGGAAGGGCTGGGCCTTCTCAGAAGGCTCGGAAGTCCCCCCGGCCTTCTGAGAAGGTTTCTGAGCCTTTCCCAAGACCCACAAGAACTTCTCAGAGGGTGCGAGTGCTTCTGAGAAGTCCCGCCGCCTTCCGAGAAGGCCTTCTTTTCTTCATTTCGCCCCCTCGCTCCTCGCCGATACATCCACAGGGAGGCGTGCGCCAATCCCAGCCAGGCCTATGCAGTCTCGGTGCACCAAGGGCTGAGGATTCGCTCGCCAGGCGCTGCGAATCTTACCGCCTCCTCGTCTTTCCGAGATGCATGTCAAGACGCGCTCCTTTTTCGCTCCTCCACCTTCGCCCCAGAGAGGGGCATCTTGCCATCGCAGAACACCGTGGTTCCCGAAGACTTATTGCAAACTGGGGCCGCAACATGGCCATAGCAGCAGGTGCTCAAATTGCGAGTGCGGGCCTGAACTTTCGCAGCTGGATCTAAGAATGTCGTCTCGCTCTGCACGGGGAGCGGGAGGGGGCAGGCATGGCGGCAACAGCAGCATTGCCATGCAGGTTTTTTTTTCTCTATCCACGTATGCTCTGGAGGGGGGAGGGACGGCAGAGGATCGGAGGTGGATAGACCTCCTACCCTGACACGCCGATCAAGGAATTGGTCGTTCTCGGTTAGCGAGAGGGCGTCGCGGCCGTCATTTTTGTGGCTCCAGGTCCGTCGGATTCGGTCCCAGGCCGTTTTCATTAAAGGGAGGTTTACTAAAGGGAGCGACGACCACGTCCGCGACCGCGACCACGGCCACGGCCACGACCACGTCCACGACAGCGACCGCGACCGCGACCGCGACCACGGCGACGACCGCGACCGCGACCGCGACCGCGACCGCGACCGCGACCGCGACCGCGACCGCGACCACGGCGACGACCACGACCGCGACCGCGACCGCGACCGCGACCCCGACCGCGACCGCGACAGCGACCACGGCCACCGCGACGGCGATGCCGGCGGCCGGCGGCCGGCGGGCGCGCGGGCCGAGGTTCTCGCAGCACCCCGAGAGCCAGACCTGGGCCCAGCGGGCCCGCTCGGTGGGCCCGGAGAGGGTCGTGCCCTGCCCCGCCCGGGGCCCAGCGGCGCCCGCGTCGCCGCCGCCGTCGTCGTCGCCGCCGCCGTCGTCGTCGTCTTCGCCGTCGTCGTCGTCGTCGTCGTCGTCGTCGTCGTCGTCGTCGTCGTTGTGGCTGCTGGCGTCGTCGCCGTCGGCGCTCAGAGGTCGCTGTCACGGCCGCCGTCCACCACCGCCCGCTGAGGAGGAGGAGGGAGGAGGAGGAGGATGGAGGGGGTGGAGCTGGCAGGAGGTAGGAGAGGGAGGAGAGGGAGGAGGAGGAGGAGGAGGAGGCAAGATGGTCGATCTTTCCTCCCGGCGGATTGAACTGGGCATGACCGAGGAATATTGGTGAGGACCGAAGAGGACGGGTAGAGGGAGGATGACGGGTGGAGGGAGAGGAAGAGGAGGATTCTGTGGCGCTTGATGGGGGAGTCATGGAAATGTTGTTCAGGAGGAGCAGGTGAATCAAAGAGATTATGCGCATAAGGAGGGGATAGTGGGATAAGGAGGGTGAGAGTGAGGCATGGTACCTCTAGGGTGAGTAGGGGAAGGATGATGATGCTGATGCTGATGTTGATGCTGATGATGCTGATGCTGATGCTGATGGTGCTGCTGCCGATGATGATGATGATGATGATGATGATGATGATGATGCTGATGCTGATGCTGATGCTGATGCTGATGATGATGCTGATGCTGATGCTGATGCTGATGCTGATGATGATGCTGATGACCACGCTGCCGATGATGATGTTGATGATGATGCTGCTGATGATGCTGATGCTGCTGATGATGACGATGATGACGATGACCATGACGAAGACGACGACGACGACGACGATGCTGTCGATGAGGATGGTGATGACGATAGTGGTGGTGCTGATGTTAATGATGATGATCGTGATGATGGTGATGATGACGATGTGGATGATGTGGATGCTGAGGCTGCTGTTGATGATGATCATGATGGTGATGGTGATTATGATGATGATGATGATGATGATGATGATGATGATGATGCTGATGCTGATGCTGATGCTGATGCTGATGCTGATGCTGATGCTGATGCTGATGCTGATGATGCTGATGATGCTGCTGATGATGATGATGATGCTGATGTTGATGCTGATGTTGACGTTGATGCGATTGTGGTAGTTGTGGTAAGTACGGGCTGGAGCAGGAGGTGGAGCATGAGCTCGCTGAGTCTCGCCTATTCGTTGTTGCAGCTGCGGATGCAGACTTCGCGGCCCAAGTTGGCAAGTCACGGGTGGAACACGCCCTCCTGGCCTCTCTTCTGGTTTCTGGAGGACCCTGCCGACAAGAGTTGCCCCCTTCAGGTCGGCGATGCCTGGCCGTCAACAGCGAGTCGGGCAACTGCCCTTTACACCCTCGTTTCGTGATACCCAGCCTCGAACCGAACCTCCGGGTCGGTTTTAGAAATCGCCGCGGCAATCGCGACAGCCACCAATCGAGGCAAGGTTTTTGTCAAGGAGTGGCATGCCTGTTCCCACCCTCCTCCCCCCGCTCTGCGATGCAGACGTGGTTCAGCATTGACAAACTATAGCGACAGAGAATTGTCAAGTAATGTTCAATACAGCGGGGGCGTGCATCAAGGAACTGACTGCGCTTCGTCAGGGAGCCCTGGGTTTCTTCGCTCCGCGCGCTGCGCGGTGGCCTCCAGCAGTTCAGGACGCTGCTGCGTTCGGGGTGCTCTGGGCTCCTCCCGCTTGCAGCTCGCGCCTGCGGATCTCAGGGCTGGGCTCCTTCCGTGGGTCTCTTCTGGCCGCGCCCGCACTGTCTGCACAGTCGTGCTGTTTTTGTTAGGGGAGGGGGACTAACATCGAAGAAGAGAAAACACCATAACAAGAAACGTTTGGCACACGGCGCGAATTTCTTGGATCCGCGCTAGGCCCCCCCGGCGCCGCCCCTGGCGCGCTCCGGGGGTCCAGCGCAGACCCGAGAAATCCGCGCGGAGCGCCAACAGCGTCTGCTTCTGCCGCTTGTCTCTTCCTCGATCTAGGGGGGGGGAGACTCGCACGCAGCCGCATCCCTCGGCATCGCTCGGACGTGTGCATTTTTTCCTTCGGCGAGGACCATCGAGTAGCATCCTTGATCACTTGGCGAAAAAGCCACGCACGAAACCGAAAAAAGCACAGGGAATGGACGTCCGAACGATGCCCAGATTCTGCCCAGCGCGCTCGAGACGAGCGAGCACGGCGGACCCTCGCCAGGGCCTCCCGGGCAGCAGAGCGGCGGCTTGCGCGCCGCGCGGTGAGCATGCGGCCCTCTCGGGGGCCCTCCGCGCGCCGCGCCGCCGGCGGCCAGGAGCCCGTGCTCCCATCGGGAGCCTCGAGACGGGGGTCAATGCTCGTGAACAAGATTGGTGAAGGGTGGAGGAGGGAGAATGAGGAAAAGGAGGAGGAGGAGGAGGAGGGGGGGTAGACAAGGAAGGACGATGATGATGACGAGGAGAGGGGAGAGGAGGACGAGACGGAGAGGGGAAGGGTCACGATCGGGAGGAGCACCGAGGGAGCAGGAACATAGGGAGGATCGGAGCTTCAGAGACGGGGGTCAATGCAAACGGGGGTCAGCCAGGGCACCAGACCCTGCAGTATCCTGCAAAGACCCCCTCTTCAGGAGGGGAAAAACACACAGACACAATTAATCATCGATTCCCAAAAAAATATGGGAAAAAATGGGAAGTGGTGGGGAAGACAAAGAAAATATGGGGAATCTTTTTATTTGTGTGTATTTATTTGTGTGTCCTGGGGCCCCTTCACCTCTGGCTGACCCGGGTCAACGAGTCGCTCGTGGCCGCGAGGCGGCCGCGCATATCGGCTGACCCGGGTTTGCGAAGATCTGCGTTGCAGTTTTTGTTCCTGCATTGCAGTTTTTGGTTTCCTGCTGGCCTGGGTCTGGATTGACCCAGGTCAGAAGATTCCCGACTCCACAAGGTGCAGCAGGTCCAAGAGAGATTCCTGGAGGCTCTCTTGAGTCGGGCATGCCCCTCTGCAGGAGGGATATCCACGAATAGTTAAAACACCTGGTCAGTTGGCGCATTTTCGTGCTCCCCCACCTTTTTACTTTTGAGTATCTTGTGCCCCGAATCCGCCTGTAGGAGGACATGCCCGACCTAAATATTGTCCTTGTGTCCTCTTTCGCGCAACGGTCGCTGCCCGGGCCAAACGCCTCCCCCCCTTTCCGAGCAAGAGCAACGATCGTACGCACGGGGTTTGGGCCCGGATCCTCCCCCCTCACACACATGATCATGCTCACGCGCATGCTGGTGATCGCAGCGCGTGCCCGCCCCGACGCGCCACACCCTGCTCAAGCGCCACTGTCACCCAGGCCCCCCCGGGGGTAACGACCGTTCGTGGAAGTGATAACACAGAATCTCCTTGCAAGGCGAGGATCCGTTCCAGAGCTTTCCAAAACGCTCTCCGAGCAATCCAGATTGCTCCGAGAAGGCCGCGGCGCCCGAGACATTAACCAGAGCCGCTGGAGCTGAGACATTCTCGATTTATCATCACCCGATATTATCCTCGTCCTGGCTTAGTCTTACGAGCTGCCTTGGCCAAAGGACCGCCGCACTATCAGGCCCTTGGCCCATTTCCGCGGGGGCAGCTGGAGCTGTCGCCCCATGCTTGGGCCGTCTCGGTTGCCTCGTGGGCCATCGTGGGGTCCTTCTTGGTTATTTTTGGGGCGTCTCTTGTCACTACAGTAGTTTCGCCAGGGACATCTGCAATGAAAGACCCTCACTCCTAATGTTGTCGGCCCTCCTGACTTAGGTCCCCTCTCATTGAGCTCGGCTTGTGTATTGCTTATCATGTTTGGGGCCTCTTGGGCCGGCTTCGAGCCACTGCGTATGCTTCTTAGGCCGCCGTGAGCTAACGGAAACCCAGCAGACAATAATGAGTAAGTTGTTCAAGCACCTAGGGGAAGCCACTCATTCGGCTTCTGTGGACCCTGTTGAAGGTCTTTTTGTGGCTGTATGGCCCTCTTGAAGGCATTTTGGGCCGTTTCGAGCCAAACTGGGCCGCCTTCGGGCCATCTTGGGACGGCTTCGGGTTTCTATCTTGATCGCGAAACAGCGAGGCTCGCGCGCCCAGGGAGGTTTTTTGGGACGATCGACGATGCGCAGGGGCGGGGTCTGGGGTGGGGGGTGGGAGCGGGAGGAGGAGTACGACGAGTAAGACGGGGATAGCGGGATGAGGAGGAGGAGGAGCGAGCACCCGACGGATTGATGATGATGTTGAGGAGGAAAAGGACGAGGAACAGGAGGAGGATGAATTGGAGAAGGAGCAGGAGGAGGAGAAGGAGGAGGAACAGTAGTGGGAGACGGAGCAGGATTAGTGAAAAGGACAAGGAGGGGGAGAGTGGAGGAGGAGGAGGGGGCGGAGGAGGAGGAGCAGGACGAGGACGAGGAGCAGGAGGAGGCGGAGCAAGAGGAGGACGAGGAGGAGGGGGATGAGGATGAGGATGAGGATGCTGATGATGCTGACGATGACGATGACGATGACGATGACGATGACGATGATGATGATGATGATGATGATGATGATGATGATGATGATGATGATGATGATGATGATGATGATGATGATGATGATGATGATGATGATGATGATGATGATGATGATGATGATGATGATGATGATGAGGATGATGATGATGATGATGATGATGATGATGATGATGATGATGATGATGATGATGATGATGATGATGATGATGATGATGATGATGATGATGATGATGATGATGATGATGATGATGATGATGATGATGATGATGATGATGTGATGATGATGATGATGATGATGATGATGATGATGATGATGATGATGATGATGATGATGATGATGATGATGCTGATGCTGATGCTTATGCTGATGATGATGATGATGATGCTGCTGATGATAATGATGATGATGATGATGTTTATGATGATGGTGATGATGATGATGCTGATGATGCTGAAGAAGACGAATACGAGGGTGGTGGTAATGTTTGTTGATGCTTACGATCGTGATGATGATGATGATGATGATGATGATGATGATGACGATGCTGATGCTGATGCTGCTGATGATGATGATGCTGATGCTGATGCTGATGCTGATGCTTATGCTGCTGATGATGATGATGATGATGATGATGATGATGATGATGCTGCTGATGATGATGATGCTGATGATGATGATGATGATGATGATGATGATGCTGATGCTGATGATGATGATGCTGATGATGATGATGATGATGATGATGATGATGAGGAGGAGGAGGAGGAGGAGGAGGAGGAGGAGGAGGAGGAGGAGGAGGAGGGGGAGGAGGAAGAAGAGGAGGTGGAGGAGGAGGAAGAGGAGGAATAGGAGGAGGAAGAGAGGGAGGGAGGGATGGTGGGTGGGAGGGAGGGAGGGAGGAGGAGGAGGAGAATGGAGGAGGAGGAGGAGGAGGAGGAGGAGGAGGAGGAGGAAGAGGAGGAGGAGGAGGAGGAGGGTTGACCTGGAGTGACCGTGAAGGTGAATCCGAAGACCGCCCGCTCAAAGCTCGCAGCACTCGGGGCTGCGGCGCAGCGAGGACCACGTGCAGCTCGGCTCGGCGCGCGACCGCCGCCCCGCAGGGCCCGCGCATGCAGGCTGCTAGTCGCAGCGGCGGCGGCGCAGGCCCACCACGCTCCGCCGCGGCCGGCGCTGCCAGGCCCTCGGCACGCCGCTGCTCGCGCCGCCGCCGCTCTGGCGGTGGCACTCCGCGACGGCGCTCGGCAGCTCACGCCCACCGCCACCACCGGCACCGGAGTGGGTGCTTGCTGCCGCGCGCGGCACCGAGACGACCCGTGACGCCTTCAGCGCAGCCGGCTCCGCCCCCATCTCCGCGTCGTCGTCGTCGTCGTCGTCGTTGCACTCCTGCTTGCTGTCACCAGCAGGCGGGGGGCTGCTTGTGCGGCCCCCCACCGCGCCGGGTACAACTTGTGCCTTGCCGACGGGCTCCGCCAGCGCTCCGCTGATGCTCAGCTGCTCCAGGGGGCATCGCGAGCTTACGGCCGTGGTCCCCCATGGAGCTCACCTCGCCGACGGTCTCCGCCAGCGCTCCGTTGATGCTCCCCTGCTCCGTGGGCACCGCGAGCTGACTGCCCTGATCCCCCTAAGGAACTCACGTCGTCGACCCTCTCGATGTCGACGCCGTCATGGGGACGGTGGGCCTCCTCTGGACTCGAGAGTGACGCAAGGTCCCGTGACTCCTGCCCACCGTCCAGCCGCGCCGCGCTGCCCGCCGCCGCCGCGGCAGGCCCGTCGGCGAGCCTGTCCTCCTTGCCAGTGTTCTTCTTCTTGACCCTCCTCCGCTGCTTGGGGGGCTCCACGGCGCGCGCCGCCACGCCGACGTCCAACGTCTTGGGCACTACGGTGTCCTGCTCCACCAGGAAGGGGCTCCACGGAGACGAAGCGATCCGTCGCTGCAGGATGGACAAGTTGAGCTTGACGAAGTCCTCGTGCTTCTGATGCTTGCACAGTGCCGAGATCTTCTTGATGACCATCAGGGTGATTGCCCACCACTCCGCAGGCCCTTGTTTCACATGTGCGACCAGGGGTCGCCGATGTCTTCTTCCAAGAAAAAAAAGCAGGAAGGGGCTCCACGATCAAGTCTCCGCCCCGGCGCCCCGGCGGCGGCCCCGGCGGCCCGGCGGTGGCCGCCTCAGTGGCCTCGGCGGCGGGCGCGGCGCGCTCGGCGGCAGTCCCCAGCGCGTCCGCGGGCGCGTCCGACCGCGCGTCGGGCGGCGCGGGCGCCTGCTCTTCCATAGGGCTGCAGCACGGCGGCCGCCGACCGAGCAGCCGCCGCAAATCGCCGTGCCAGCCACCGACGCGCGCAGCACTGCAGCCGGACTGCAGCGGCGGCCCGCCACGAAGCCCCCTGCTGCCTCCGCCCGTACTCGCACTCCACCTGCGACCAGCCCCGCGGCGACGTCACCTCGCCCTCTGTGCGCTCGGCCGCGGGCGGTGCGGGGGAAGCCACGTGCTGCGAGAGCTCCTGATGCGCCTCGCGCGGGGGCTCTCGAGCGCCTTGGACGTGGGCAAGCAACACCCGTCCGCGCCCTGTGCCCTCCTCCGCCGTGAGGGTGCCAGGAGCTGCTGTCGTGGCCGCAAGCGTTCGTCACACGGCCACTTGCAATTTCTCATGGTCTGGGTCAAGGCGCACGTTTCGTGGCGCTTGGCCGAGCTGTCGGGGGAAAGTTGGTGTTGGCACATCGGTAACAAGGATGCCGACAGACTGACCAAGCCTGGAGCACGGCTTCACCCGCAAGGTCGTCTTCGAGAATGCGAATCCAGATTTGGCCCAGCCGACGCAGAGGCTGCGAGCCTGTTGCTCTATCATGGAGCTGTGCTGAACATGCTTGCGCGTGACGGATGGACCGTCGGAGGCCCTTTTCTGGACATGAGGTTGTTTCACGGGGGCCCCGGCTGGAGCTCGAGAGGCCCCTCTTGTGGGCCCTCCCTGGAGCCTTTCGGGCGAACGTGGGGTTGTTTGAAACGTGGCATCGGAATCACCTCCAGGGCCAGTTTGCGGGCCCCACCCCGCCCTGCGTCCCTGGAGTATGACTCCCATCGGCTCTGGGCCGTGCGTGCTCGGAGCATACGGGGGGGGGAGGGTAGTCGTTGGGGGAGGGCCAGGATGATAGCAGTCTGAACGCCATTGTGCGCTTCAGCGTTTGGTGGTGTATACGCTCGCAGGCAGACGATTTGGTTATGGTGGCAGACTACGCCCGCGAATCGGTTGGGGCGTAAGGTGTTCGACAGTCTCACGGCGGGGATGGAGCCTTTGGCAGGCAAGTGCTGAGGGCTGCCATTCCCCATAATTTGCCGTCCGAGTTTATCCAGGTTTGATCCGCAGAGCCCCCATTCCCTGATTTAGGTTCTTAACTTTTCTGTACGCTCACCTTGGGCGAGTTCCTGTAAAGTCGTAGGTGCGGTCGGGTCTCGTGAGACTAACCGTTTAGAATATATAGAGGCCGACGAGGTCATCGAGGAGGAGGCGGAGGAGGAGGCGGAGGAGGAGGAGCAGGAGGAGGCGGAGGAGGAGGAGGAGGAGGAGGAGGAGGTGGAGGAGGAGGAGGAGGAGGGGGCGGCGGAGGAGGAGGAGGAGGAGGAGGAGGAGGAGGAGGAGTAGGAGGAGAAGGAGGAGTGGGAGGATCAGTGGGAGGAGAAGGAGGAGGAGGAGGATAAGTGGGAGGACAAGTGGGAGGAGGAGGAGGAGGAGGAGGAGGAGGAGGAGGAGGATAAGTGGGAGGAGAAGGACGAGGCTCAGTAGGGGAGGGGGGAGGAGGGGCATCCCGGGGGCGCGCGCGCGAGCCGGGGGCCGAACGCGCCTCGGCCTCTCTCCGCCGAGGTGTGCAAGCAGCCCCTCGGCGAGAAGAAGGACCTCTTCCCCGTGTGCGGCGTCACGTGCCGGAGCACCGCCGCCCGCCGCTCCCGCGGCTCGTCGTCGTCGCTTTTCGTCGTCGTCGTCGTCGTCGTCGTCGGTGTCGTCGTCGTCGTCGTCGTCGTCGTCGTCGTCGTCGTCGTCGGTGTCCTCGTCGTTTTTCGTCGTCGTCGTTGACGCTTTTCGTCGTCGTCGTTGTCGTCGTCGTCGTCGGTGTCGTCGTCGTCGTCGTCGGTGTCCTCGTCGTTTTTCGTCGTCGTCGTCGTCGCTTTTCGTCGTCGTCGTCGTCGTCGTCGGTGTCCTCGTCGTTCTTCGTCGTCGTCGTCGGTGTGCGAGGCTCGAGGTCCGACGCGCTGCCGGGCGCTCTGGGGCTCCCTTCTGGCCGCCGGCGGGGGCCTGCTCCTCGGATGTGCGTCGGGTCTTCTGGCCTCAGGACCGACTCACGCCTGGAAGCGCCCGGGGGGGGCCGGCTTGGAGGAGGGCTCCCAGCCTTCCAGCGCCTCGAGGACGAATCATGGCACGGCGGAGGAGGGTCGGCCATCTTCGGTGTCGGCGGGGCTTCTCCTCGGGATCCGCGACCGCCAGGGCAACGCCCGGGACGACATGAAACATCGTGTTAGGTGGTCCAGAGTGCCAGGGCAAGCGTGTTGAGCAAACCCGGACGTCGAGGGAGAGGAGGAGGAGGAGAAGGAGGAGGAGGACGATGAGGAGGAGGAGGAGGAGGAGGAGGAGGACGAGGGGGAATAATCAGTCCATTAGCTCCTCATCTTCCCCATCAAGGTTGAGGATGGGGAGGAGTGGGTTGGAGGAGGGGGATGGGCAGGGAGACTAAAGGAAGAGGGAGGGAGAGGAGAATGATGGGGGAGGGGAGGAATGAGAAAAAACAGGAGGAGGAGGAGGAGAAGGAAAGAAGCAGAAGGATCGTCAAGAGGAGGCCGACAAGGAAGAGTACAAGGGGGGCCGCCGCCATTCCTGTTTCCAGTTGCAGATTGAGCAGACCGTATCATTTGAGTGGTCGGCGGTCCTGCGCTCGCTGGTGGCGTCAGGGCGTCGCGAAATGATCACCTCGGGCGTTTCTTGTTGCATCACGATTTCGGCGCCTCGCAGGCGCTTCTTAATTCAGGGACTGATCAACCTTTCCTCCCGCGGTGAAATATTGAGCTTAAAAATGGGTCGACAGCTTCGGCGGTCCACGTCGTGAATAATTCACTAGGGCGGATGACTGCCCTCCCCCCTGCTGGTGTATCACGTCTATTGCGTGCCTCGCGCATGTTTATTATCCTTCAGTCCTCACCTCGTTCCTCATGCCTGATCGAGTCCCCCGTTCCGCCCATGCCGACGCAGGAGTGAGAACCTTCTGCTGTGGCGGATGTTGTCTTCCCTGAAGATTATGTGTGCGAACCATCCAAAGGTCGTGGGCAGCTTTCTCCGAGAACGGTGATTGAATGGATATGAGTTGTGAGGCTCAGTGGTGCATCATGCAAACCTGCAAGCTGCCACACTGTCGTGGGCATAGAATGTTGACACGCGTCTGCGTGCCATGTGATCGACAACCGTTTGTTATCCGAGCCAGCCTTCTTGTGCACGTATCCCACAGGTAAATATTGCGATCATGTTGTATTTTGTTTAATTGTTTCGCTCATTCCGCCGACCCAGACTACGCCATCGCGGGCGTTTGCCCGCGTGTTTGCTGCCATTGCAGCGTTGATGGGTGGTGGTAGTTTGCTTGACATGTTGAGTGAGCAGTCATGGGCACCTCGGAGCAGTGGGCTCGAAACAACTGTTGGTGCCCCCGTTGTTCCATCCTTCTTGGACTCCCTGGGAGGCCCTCTTGGGCCGTCTTGGGGGCCTCTCGGGGGCTCATTCCAGCACCATTGGCACGTCGCTGCGTGCTTGCGGAGCCTCGTGTGGCCTCTCGGGGGCATCTTGGGGGCCTCTTGGAGGGGGTCTGCATCGGGGGGCTCTTGGGGGCCTCCTGGAAGTCTCGGAGGCAAGTTTATTTGGCGGAAGGGCGCGCACCTTCATTTCGGGCTCCCTCTTTTGTTATATTCTAGATGTGTTGGGAAGTTTCTTGGAAGGCCTCTGGGGCCGTCTTGGGGCCCTCTTGGGCTGTCTCGTAGCCGTCTTGGGGGCCGCTTGGCTTGAAATGTGGCAATCTTGACTGCTGAATAAGCCATCTTGGGCGATCGGAAGACTGAACATGCAGTACCCCAAAAATCGTGCAAACATCCAAGCGACATCCATGCATGTTGTCCTCCTGGTGGCCTCTTGGAGACGTATTCGACCAACTGGAAGCTATGTTGACGCCTTTGGGAGTGCATGGAGGCCATCGTGGAACCTGCCACGCATGGATCCCGACTCGAATGACCTGCTGGAGCTGCCCTCGGGTCCCTTGGGGCGCTCCTGGGGCGCCCATTGGAGCCCCCCGGGGAATCCTGCCACCCGTGCTGCCAGCGGCCCGGGGAACACCTCTCCTTCGGAGGTATGCCCAGGGGCCGCCACGCACGCGCGAACACGAACAATCAGCACCTCTTACGAGCGCGTTTTTTCTGTAGTTGTTTTCCCCCCCCTTTTTTGTTTTGTCGTTTCACGCTCTGGGCCATAACGCGAGTTATGCCCCCCCCCGACCCCATAACGTAACGCTCCTCCCCGCCCGGCGCGTCCACGGCGCTGCCGCAGAGCGACGCAGACAACGTCTGGCAGCGCAGTCTGTCGGGGGGCGTGGCGTTACGTTATCCGTCCCCCGATCCCCCCCCCTCCCCCCCATATCTCGGGTGTGGACAGAGCCCCCAACAGTGACACGTCGATCAGTGAATTGTTCGTTTTCGGCTCACGAGAGGGGGTCGTGGCCGTTATTTTCCAGGCTTGCGCCTGTCAGGTTTGGCCCTCAGGTCGTTTTCACTAAACCACGTTTTGCTAAAGGGGGGTCTGTCCATCCCCGAGTTATGCATCCTGCGATCCTCCCCCCCTCCCCCCCATAACGCTGGTTATCGCCGCGGATTAAACAAAATACGCTTTCTACCGGAGATTTTGGCACGCCTCTGGCCTGTTGGGCGGGCGAACCGTCGATTCTCGACGCTGATTCGTGACCGCGGCAACTTCGCCGATTTCTAGCATCTGGCCCCCTTGCCTGTTCTGAGGATCGACAGCTGATAACGTCATGACTCTGGAAATCATGTACTCTGTCCCGTCACGCCATCAAAGTCCCACATGCCAGTTTTTAAGTTAGAGTTTTTTGTTGCTTTCGTGGGAAGTCCGCCTTCCTTTCCTCATTCGGATGCAACTCCTGGAAGGTCAAACTCAGAATTGGCCAAGGCATTTCCGTGGTCGTAAACCAGCCCCATCCAGCGCCACCCCGTCGAAAACCACTTAACCCCGCTTAAACAGGGTTCGTCTGGCTAAAATCCTGGGCTCGATCCAGCTTGATCTGGCTTCTTGCCCCCCCAATCAGGCGTAGTAGCGTGCTTCCTAGCTCTATCAGGAAATCCTGGAGGCCTCGCGTGGCGCGTAACAGTAGTACAATCTAGTCCACACGTCAGCTCCGTAAGCTATGGGTCGACGCTCGCGCGGCGATGCTCCGGAGTCAGTCCGACGCAAATCAGACGTATATCCGGCGCAGTCCGACGCGAGCCCGACGTAAATCCGACGTGGATCCGACGCAAATCGGGTCTCCAGTTGCCGCGCGAGGCCTCCAGGATTCTCCCCAGAAGTAGTCCTCACGAAGACACTGCAGGAGTTGCCTTCCAACCTTGACCTCCCCCTCCATCCTCCCCCCCCCCCCCCCGCGTCCTCCCCAGGCCCTGCCGCGTCTCGCTTCCCTCTTCCTCCTCCTCCTCCACCTTCTCCTCCTCATTTTCCTCCTCCTCCTCCACCTCCTCCTCCTTTTTCTCCTCCTCCTCCTCCGCCTCCTCCTCCTCCTCATCATCATCCCCTCCTTCCCCCCCCTCTTTGTCTGCCCCAGCCCCCAAGCCATCCCTCGTGGCCCTTCCCCCCAAACCTCTCCGCGCCCCACCCCCGCGACGACACCAGTCCCTCAGGAGGGGAAAACGGAAAACACACAGACACACAGACACTGTCACAAGTATTAAGTCGGGCGTGTCCATCTACAGGAGGAATCTGCAAACATGGTCTACAAATAGTCGAACGAGCGCGTTCTGTGGTCGCTTGGAGGGTGGGGGGGGTTGGAACCGGACCCCCCCCCCCCAGACGGAGGGGGGGGGGGGGTTCGAACTCCCCCCACCCCCCCTCCCGTGACGGAGGTGGGGCGGGGTTTCGACCCCCCCCCGTCCCTACTTCTCCGCTCTCCCTCTCCTTGGCAGGCGGCGGCGGCGGCGGGGACGACGATTTTTTTTTCTGGGCCGGCGCCGGCGCCTGCGGCGGCGGGCAGCGCCAGCGGGGAGCGTCGACGAGGACGACGGTAGTGGTGGTGGTGGCGGCGGTGGTCGTGGCGGTGGCGGTGGTGGTTGTGGTGGTGGTGGTTGTGGTGGTGGTGGTGGTGGTGGGTGTCGGTGGTGGTGGCGGTGGTGTGGTGGTGGTGTGGTGGTGGTTTGTGGTGGTGGTGGTGGTGGTGGTGGGTTGTGGTGGTGGTTGTGGTTTGGTGGCGGTGGTTTGTGGAGGTGGTGCTGGTGGTTGTGGTGGTGGCGGTGGTGAGGGGGTGAGGTGGTGGGTTGTGCTGCTGGTTGTGGAGGCGGTGGTGGTGGTGGCGCGGTAGATTGTGGTGGTGGTGGCGGTAGTGGTGGTGGGTTTAGTGGTGGTGGTGGTGATGGTGAGTTGTGGTGGTGGTGGTGGCTGTGGTGGTGGTGATTGTGGTGGTTGTGTTGGTGGTAGTGGTGGTTATCGCCGCTGCGTCCCCGCCGACGCCGGCGCCAGCGCCGGCGCTGCTAACCATCGCCAGCGCGGCGCCGGCGCCTGCGCCAGGGGGGGGTTTGAACCCCCCCCCTCGGCGCCAAGGGGGGGGCTGGGTGGGGGGGTTGAACACCCCCCCTTGGACTGCCTCTGGTCATCGTCGCTGCGTCCCCGCCGTAGGCGCTGCTGGCGGCCGCCGGCGCCGGCGCCAGGGCGGGGGGTTGTGGGTTTCAAACCTTCCCCCTCCCCCTGGGGAGGGGGGGGGGCTCGGCAGGGGGAGGGGTTGGGGGGGAGGGGGAACCCCCTCGTTTTGATCGACGGCGCCGAGTGTTGGGGGGAGGCGCACCCCCCGGTTCGAAACGCGCCGCCGAATGTTCCCAAGGCGAACGCCCGTGAAACGCCTTCTCTCAAATAGTCGGGGGGTTTTGTTGATGGTTTTTCTATTTTTTTTCCATTTACAAGTCCGCCTGTAGGAGGACATGCCCGACCCAACACAAGTAATCGTTTTTTTCTGGGAAGGTACGGCAACATATGGGCAGCGGGGGGAACACGGAAACCCTGAAGATATGGAGCAATATAGAGGGGTCCTGGGATTTGTGTCTGCTTGCGTGCGTGTAAGTCTCTGCGTGGCTTCGGGCCCCTTAGCTCCCTTTTCGGTCGGTCCCTCCGCTCAAGGTCATTGGTCTCTGGCCTTGCGCCTCGCCTCGTCTCTCGGGGCCCCCCGTCGGTCCCCTCTTCGCCGCCTCTTGCGGCTGCAGTTGCCTGTCGGCTGGCGCTTGATTCCGGCCCACGCCCGTGCAGTGGAGACCCATGCCAAGAAACGCCCTGCTCGCCGCCGGAGTGCCCTGGACTTCATGGGTTTCGATGGCTCTGCGATGGGCGGCGTGACGTTCCCACGCCAAAAGGCAGCGGACGTCCTGGGGTCTCAGGGTTGTTTTTTTTGTGGATGGTTTCTTGTGGCCGGGCCTCCATTGTACCCGAGAGTGCTGCCCATCCCGTCGCGGGCCGCGCGAGGTCCTCAAAGAGGGCAAGTGCCAGTGGATCGGCGAGTGCCGGCGGGCGGCCATAATCTGTAAGCGTGGGGAGGTGACGGGGTGAAGGTCGAAGAAGAAACAAATGTCATAAACATAAGCCCTTGGTGCTCCACTCGGATTTCTCGGATGCGCGCGGGGCCTTCCCGGCGGCGCCTCCAGCGCCCCCCCTGGTACGCTCCGCGCGCCGGGGAAGGGGTCTTGCGCGGATCCAAGCAATCCGCCCGGAGCGCTGAAAGTTTATGTTTATGGCGTAGCTCTTATTCGGGAAGAGGGTGGTGGTGGTGGTGGGGGGGAGCATTGCACAAGGGAAGCACGTTCCGAGCAGAGCAGCACGCATCGTCACCACGACGAGTACGATGGCGGAGGCGAGTCGCGCAGAGGATCCGCACAGATGAGCGGATCTGGGGTAGGGCCCCTAGGGCTAACCCTGCATGGTCTTTTGAAGCACACAAGTCAGCGGTGCTGCAACCTACCATTGGCACAGGCTCCCCCGAGGGGTTGCTGATGCGCCAGAAGAGCGAGGCAGTCGAGGACGGGCGGGGGATGCGGAGGACGTTGATGGGGGGACGGGGAGTACGAGGGATACGGGGGAGGCTGAGGGGGAGGAGGAGGGTGATCTTGAAGAGTTGGTGAGGAGGGTGAGGAGGAAGATGAGGAGGAGGAGGAGGAGGGGAGGAAGAGGAGGAGGAAAAGGAGGAGAAGGAGGAGGAGGAGGAGGAGGCATATGATGATTCTGAGGAGGCATAGGGTGATTCTGAGGAGTTGGTGCGATGAGGGATCGCAGGGAGGAGGCACCAGGCAGGAGGCTGGAAGCAGGAGGCACGACGGACGACAAAGGGAGAGAGGGGATGACGGCGTGAGGAAGGCGGCGCTCGGAGGCGGTTTCCTCAGCGATCGGTGGCGGCTCCCACAGGCTTAGGGCGCCAGCGGCATGCTGCGGTCCTCCTGCTGCGTTCGCTCCTCCGCGCCCCAGGCGGAGGAGGGCCTGCCGAGACAACGGCGGACTTTCCTGGTTTGTTCTGCTCGTTGTGTGCCTCCCCGTCGCCACGGCCGCGTCCGCCCCGAAGAACGGGCCAGAACGGACCCCAGGGGTGCAGGGAGTGGTATGTGATCTTCTTCCTCCTCCTCTTCCTCCTCCTCCTTCCTCCTCTCTCTCCTCCTCCTTCCTTCCTCTTCCTCCTCCTCCTCCTCCTCCTCCTCCTCTCCCTCTCATCCCTCCTCCCCTCCTCTCTCCTCCTCTCTCCTCCTCCTCCTCCCCGTGTCTCCTCCTCCTCACCTCCTCCCCCTCCTCTCTTATCCTCCTCCTCCTCCTCCTCTCCTCCTCCTCCTCCTCATCCTCCTCCTCTCCCTCCTCCTCTCCTCCCTCCCCCTCCACTTCCTCCTCCTTTTCCCTTTTCTCCTTCTTCTCCTCCTTCTCCTCCTCCTTCTTCTCTTCTTGTTCCTCCTCCTCCTTCTCCTCCTCCTCCTCCTCCTAGCCATTTTGGCTCAAGCCGTTCCTCTCGGGAGCGGGGCCCCCGTGCAGGCAGGCGCGCGATTGGGAACGGCGCAGCGCCCGCGAGCCATGTGCTGATCTTCCTTCGTTTCCTTTGGCCCTCCCAGGTGCTGGCGGAGAAGGCTGCAATCTGGCGCGCGCGACGCGCCAGCTCGTGGAGCAGATGGAGTTCAGCGCCGTGGAGATCCAGCTGATCGATGGCGTCCAAGTACAAGACGGCGAGCATCCGCCCGTGGCCTTCGGACCTGCGGGCGGTGAGTGCCCGAGTTCGGGAACCGGCGTCGATGTCGACTTCGTTGGCAACACTGGGGCTGGGCTGCGGGCCGCCGTGCAAGCTGGACAAAGAGACCACGGGCACGAATTTCCAGGAGAACGTGGTGGCGAAGCCGCCCCAGGTGCTGAGCGACCTGGGCTACGGGCCGCTGTCCAAGCCGTGCAAGGAGAGCACGAACTTCCTATACTCGAAGGTTTTGGAGAAATCGCGCAAAGAGCAGCGCGTGCTGGGATCCCCCACTCGGCCGCCGTCGTCGAGGGCGCGGTGCCTGGCGGTGCAGGCGAGGTCCAGCGCCTCGGCGGGCCCCCTGCTGGGGCCACCTGTGCTGGGTCCTGGCCGCAGCCAGCAGAGGTTCCTGGCGTTCAAGGCGCGGCACCAGGCGAAGGCGAGGGCGAGGGCGAGGCCGTCGCCGCCTACGCCGCCGGCGCCACCGGTGCGCTCGCAGAGCTCCGAGGAGGTGCAGGGCGTGCTGGAGGGGAGCGAGGGGTCGGAGCTGAAGTCGCGCCGCATGTTAGCCAGGAAACTGCTCGAGTCAAGGAGACGCCTGGCCAGGAACGCGCGGCAGGTAGACTATAACCGAGCCAGATGTGTGACCAGAAGGACCTATGGCGCCGAGCCTCCTTCAGCTCGTCTCGCCAGCGGCATTGGAATCAGGAAGAAAGGAGAAGACGGCAAAGTGCAGGTTGAGGAGAGTTCTTCATCGGGGGCCCTGTCATCTAGGGCGTCGCCGAGGACTCCGACAGCTTCCTCGATGGCGAGGTGGGCGTTAAGAAGAAACAGAAACATATGAAGTATAAAAATAAGACGGACCATGACACTAGCGACCAGAAGGAGGAGCAGCTCGTTGGGCAGATCGGCGGGGCGGGGTCTAAGGACGATGGGAAGCTCGCCCTCTCGACCTTCCTCAGCTTGGCGGAGGCGGACGGGCCCCTTGAAGGGGAGCGCCAGCGCGGCCGACCTTTCGCGCTGCGCCGAGAGGCAGAGAACAGCAGGGTGGAAGGCAAGGAGAGGGGCGCATGCATTTCGGCGGGGTCGAATGGCACAGGCGCTTACGCTTCTCGAGCGCGTGCGCGAAGTTCGGACGTTCGTCGGGCGTCGCCGTTCGGGGGAGCCCTGAGGCATTTAGGGCCTCGAGCTGTCCCTTCCCTTTCGCGTGTTCCGTGGGCTCCTGGGTTGTGAGGCGCGCGCGGGGGCGGGGTGGCCTCGGTGGCCTGGGCGGCCCGAGGGCCTCGTCGGCCCTTTTGGGCTTCCGCCGCTTTCCGATGAGCACCCCGGAGGGCTTGGGATTCCTTCGGGGCGGGGCATCGGCGTGCGGCATGCGCCGAGGGGCGTGGAATCGACCCGCCCTCGCATTGTCGTGCCCTCGTCTCCCTCCTCCTCCTCCTCCTCCTCCTCCTCCTCCTCCTCCTCCTCCTCCTCCTCCTCCCTCCTCTCCTCCTCCTCCTCCTCCTTCCTCCTCCTCCTCCTCCTCCTCCCCCTCCTCCCCCTCCTCCTCCTCATCGTCCTCCTCCTCCTCCTCGGCTCTGGGCCAGGCGACGGGGCCGTCGTTGTCTCGGCCCGGCCCTCGTCCGATGCAAGGGGCGCCCGCTCGGTCCGCTACCGGCCCCCGCCTGGACCCCCCCGGCCTGGATGCGCACGTGCCCGGGCATGGCCGCGTCGACGCCTCGGATGCCTCGGCGCCCGCGTGGGCATTCCTTCGCGTGCATCGAGGGATGCGTCCGTGGACGCAGCTGGGCGCAGCTGGGCGAAGCCGATGCCTAGGCGTCGACCTGGCGGCGCCGAGGCATCGCGCCGGCGACGCCTCGGCGAGGGCAGGGGGGCGCGCAGGGCAAGCGTCGATGGGTCAAGGTACCGAAGCCAGCGGGCCGTGCCAAAGCGCGCGCGCGGGGGGCGGGGGCTCGGAGCGGCGGGCGGGGGGGCTGGGGGGGGGCGGACCAGAACGGGGATAGGGGGGCAAGGGAGAAGAAACAACAAGGTGGACGCGCCGGGATGGGGCGCGGACCGGGGGAAAAGGAGCTCCGCAGCCATTTTGGCTCGTGGCCGGAGGCGTTGCTCGAGGACTTTAACATTTTGGTGAGGGGGCGTCGCGGCCCCCAGTTTTCCCCCTGGCGTTCGCCCGCCAGTTTCTGCGTACTTCTGGATGCAGAACCGCCCCGTTCTGCCGGGCATCCTTTCTCGATAGCTCCTGCGCCTGCGCCGCGGCTTCGCGACGGGAAGAACGAGGAGGGGGGGGGGGGCGGTCAGAAGGGGGGGCAGGAGATGGCGGCCGGCCCGTTCTGCGCCAGGAGGCGTGGCTTTTCCGTCGCGTGGCTGCGTAGAAAAGTATCCGGATGCCTGCTTGTGCAAGCGTGGTGATCTTGCTGTTGATCAGTGGCTTCTTTTTCAGGCGACGTGGACCTCGCCTGTTTCGCCATATGGTTCCTGCCGACACAGCAGTGGACGGGGCGATGGCGCTTGTTTTTCCCAGTCGGCGGTGAAGGCCAAGGCGAACGCGAAAATGGAGCCGGCTTCACGGTGTCACGCGGTGCCCAACCGTAACTCCAAGTCCCAGATGCAGCCGGGGTCTCACCGATGCCCGCTGGCCCAATGCCGGAAATTACCAAGGATGATGCAATGGTGTTTCTTTATTTATATGAAAGCGAGAAGGTTGGACGCCAGTCAGGGCCTACATTGTATTCCGACGTCGCGCAGCTCATGTCGGCGCTCGTCCTTCGCGGTGCATCAGGCAGCTCAGCAGCAGCGTGGACAGGCGCGTCGTTGGGATATCCAGTTGGCGACGGAGTTTGTCCAGCTTCTGGGCGCAGAGAGTGAGGCGCGGGATCAACGCGAGAAATTCAAGCAGTCGCGCTGGCCACTTGTTGAAGAAGATCGCGTTTCTGACGAGGCAGTTTTGAAGTTTTGAATATCAGGTCTGCGCTGCGGCTCCAGCGGGCGCCGTGGACATCGGCTCTATTCTCTGCTGCGACGCCGTCGACGTCTTCGGCGAGGATTCAGAGCTTGAGACGTCCATGAAGGGCCGCGGCGACATGTAATGCTGCGCGGGGGATCTGCTACAGAGTATAACGGACATGGCGAAGCAGCTCTTCTCGAAGGCAACTGAGCATGCGACGTGGTGAAGACAACGGTGAAACGGCTGAGGGTGGAGGCGCGCGCAGTCGAGTCGGGGCAGTGATGCAGCAGCTGTATCTGGAAGTTGCGCCCCTTTCCCTTCCGATTCACCTTCGGATGGTGGTGCCGTCTTGAAGGTCT